CTTTCAAAATACTTAGATCATATTCTTCTTCTAATATAAACAAAAATAATTAATGAATATCATATATATATATATATATATACATATATATACATATATATATATATATATATATATATATATATATATATATATATATATATATATATATATATATATATATATATATATATATATATATATATATATATATATATATATATATATATATATATATATATGTGTGTGTGTGTGTGTGTGTGTGTGTGTGTGTGTGTGTGAGGGTGTGTGTGTGTGTGTGAGGGTGTGTGTGTGTGTGTCATCTTGCACAAAATACTCCTATATAAAACATTATGCTAAAACATGAATGTAAATTGACACGTTTGCCATCTTGTTTAAATATGAATGGTGGCATACTTACACCTTTCAGATAATTTTTTCTCAACATAAGATATCGCGTTAAGTCAAGATAACTATTCGTGAAGTCAAGATAACTTGCGGTATTATCGACATACTCCAACTTCTATCTTGTGTAGTCAGTCAAGATAAGATATCACATTTTGTTATGATAGCTTTATCGACATAACGAAATAATTTATCGTGACTAAAATTGTTGCGTTGATTAGTACTGCCTCTTCTTTATTACAGTCATGATAACTGTATATACATGTACTTATATCTAAATAGATGACTTTCTATGGGTACCTCGGTCATTTTAGAATGCAATACGCGGATCTCTTCTATCAAATTGTTACTCTAATAAGCATAATTTCAAAAGAATTCAGTTAGAACCAATGTGTTTTCAAACCGTGGCCATGTTTTCTATAAAATTAAAGTAAACCAAACCAATTTTTTACTTATTTATAAGTAATATTTGCAGTCATTAATTTTAGTGGATTTGCTATTCCATTAAATGAATGATTTGTCTTGTTTATCAGAAATCAATACTTGGCTTTGTTATTATTATATAGGTAGTTTAACAAATGAATGACTCTATGCTTTGATTGTGATTTTTTCGCTTATGCCATATCAATAAATCTGAAAAGATCAAAAATGAAATTTCGAATTAGGTAAATGGGTTATTTTGTTTCATATTTTACGGAGAAAGTGTATAGAATGGTTTATATGAAAATCTTCATTTATATATGTAATAAATACAATTGATTGATTGATTGAATGATTGATTGTTGTTTAACGTCCCTCTCGAGAATTTTTCACTCATATGGAGACGCCACCACTTGCCGGTGGAGGGCTACAAATTTTGACCTATACTCGGCACTCAGGGCCATTGAGCAGTGAGGGACCTTTTTCGTGCCAGCACTAATGCGACACGGGACCTCAGTTTATACGGACTCATCCGAAGGACCGGTCTCCACGTCCCGCAGTGGGATTCGAACCCGCGACGTAAGGATCAACTCCTCACTCCGCGACTCTAGAGCAGACGCTCTAACCACTGCGCCACGCGGGCGACGTAATAAATACAAAAATTAAATTAAAACAATAGCAGTGATGAATTTGAAGAATAATTTCAATATAAGAGATCCGCATGGTTTCATCGGGAAATGACTTAGACGTCCGTAACACATCATCTATAAATACTTACATACATTTACAAGTAAACAGTTAAGCTGACTGTAATTATGAGGAGTCAGTACTTGTCAAAGCAACAATTTTAGTCATAATACATGATAAATTATCTCAATAAGTGGGAAAGCTATCACAACAAAATGTGATGGCTTATCTTGACAAGACGAGATAGAAGTTGGTGTATCTTGACAAAACCATGAAGTTATTTTCACTTGACGAGATAGTTGCCTTGACATGAAGTGACATCTTATGCTGACAAAATTTATTTGGATGGTCCAATGATGCCACAATAATTATGCTATATATAACTACATTGATTTCTATGATGTTCATGCAACCAACGAGATAGTAATAAACTGGTTATTATAAATGTATAACTACATGTATTGGTAACTTGTACTTCAGGACATGATATTGAATGTTTTACAGGGAAATTTACAGAATTAAGGAGTGCTTTCCATATTCTGCATGGAGAGCAATCATGCATTGCATACAAAGCCAATTAGTGTATACAAAATGTTTGGTCATTTCCCCGTTTACCTCTTCTTTAAAAGAGCATGTGTAGTTATTTTATGTACTTTAAGAATATTTTAATTAAATTGTCATCAGAATGAACAGTGTTTCTAGAAGTAAGAAGACTTTTAAAATTCTACCACTTTGAATTACATTGTACATAAAATATCATTGAAGGAAACGGTGGTTATGAACAGAAAATAAAAAAATACACAAGCATTAAACAAAAAAGGTTTAAACATTCGTATTCAATACAGATATGACCCTTATGTTGTAGAGAGATGATTTCTAAAGTCTTCAAATTTATTTACGGCAAGGATGGTAAACAGTGCACATTACTAATAACACTTTGAAATCTCTATTATTAAACATTCTTGGTTTATTACTCATTGTAATAAATTCTTTTTAAAAAAAAGTTGTCCGTAATGTGCATATATCGAGACAAATCTTCGTTTTTACTGTAAAGTGAAAGATTGCTAACACAGCTGTGTGTTAGGATAATGAAAAATAGAATTCGCTCACTAGTATACCAGCATTAAAAGAAACGAAGTTTTGCAAAACGGGAAATTAAAAAAAAGAATAGAAAATTTGTATAGCTAATGTAAATTTTGTTCTATTATAAAAAAGCAGGAGGTTTCATGAAACTACAGGTTCTAGAATATAAATAATCTACTTTAATAATGAAAAAAAAAATGATCCGGCAATATAATAGCTTAGCTCTCCCAAACTGATTGTACGCCTGAGCAATAACATTAACAAGTGATCACAAAAGTGGAGTTTCAGTAGACTGAGGATTTTGACGGAATCTACTAAAAAGATAATAAAAACAGTCATCTTCTTTACATTTGCATGCTCTGATCCCTTCCATCCGTTTTACGAGTTTGAATTACCTTTTATCCATAATATAATAAGACAAATTTATGCTATGACTTGTATATTTTTATTGTTCAATCTAAAAATTATCGATAAATATTACTTGCATATAAAGTTTTAAAAGACTATGAAATTAAGTTTGACTGAAACTTTCTGAAGACAGCTTATCAAATACCACAGTTATTGATTTTATTTCTCATTTCAAAGGCTTTCATATATATATATATATATATATATATATATATATATATATATATATATATATATATATATATATATATATATATATATATAAGCACTAAAAATGACCAACGACACGAACAATAATAATTGTCAAATTTTCGGGACAACCTGTCCCTTCCTAAGGATAAAGAAAAAAGTTAAGAAGTCATAAAAACACAGGAAATAGAGAAGCAAAAACAACTAGCACTACTACTTAACTACCAAACACTAAATATTTACAATGTTACATGTTTAATTTGGAGTTTATAAACAGTTGTGAACAAAGAAATCCGGAGTGCTATGAATTGCGTCCGGTCTATCGGGTGTACTCTGGTGAAGTGTGATTTACATAATTGAACGAATTAATTATCGCTAATTAATAACGACCAACAGTAAATCGTACATTGTCTTATTCTCTCAAAATAGCGTAACTCTACATGATAAAAAGAAATTAAAGAAAGATAATATGGAAGGACAATTTTGAAATATGAATTTGGATATATTATAAATTTGGAAATCGGAAAAAAGAAATAAGCAAAAATGTAAGCTGTAAATATTTGGGTAGGTTGTTCCAGGATTGCTAATACGAATTAACGGTAAAGTTTACACTATATAGAGAGAATGAACTAGTTTGTTACAATCCGGGATTGGGTCTAGTTCACGTTCATCCTGGTGAAGTCATTAAGTTTGTTAATACCATTAGGGCGGAATGACTTCAGCCTGTGCATCCAGAACTTTTCCTTGCCTTTTCTCTGCGCGTCTGTCCATCTTGGATTATGGTCAATAACCACTACTGTCATGTCCTCCCATTTGTGACCTTCAAGGTTGAAATGTTCCCCAACGGGTTCATTGAGTTTTTTGGTCCTAATGGTAGAACGGTGATTATTGACTCTCCTGCGGAGATCTCCTGTTTCACCAACATACTGTTTGGAGCAAACTTTGCAACTGATGAGTTAAATGCAGTTGTCTGTTTGACAGGACGAATTCCCTAGTATTTTGTAGCTGCGGCCTGTAACGGGGCTGTCAAAACTGTCTGTGTCAGAGCTGTACTTACAGAGAAGACATCTTCTGTCAGAGCAAGTTTTAAAGCCCCCGTTAGGTAATGGAACAACCTACCCAAATATTTACAGCTTACATTTTTGTTTATTTCTTTTTTCCGATTTCCAAATTTATAATATATCCAAATTCATATTTCAAAATTGTCCTTCCATATTATCTTTCTTTAATTTCTTTTTATCATGTAGAGTTACGCTATTTTGAGAGAATAAGACAATGTACGATTAACTGTTGGTCGTAATTAATTAGCGATAATTAATTCGTCCAATTATGTAAATCACACTTCACCAGAGTACACCCGATAGACCGGACGCAATTCATAGCACTCCGGATTTCTTTGTTCACAACTGTTTATAAACTCCAAATTAAACATGTAACATTGTAAATATTTAGTGTTTGGTAGTTTAGTAGTAGTGCTAGTTGTTTTTGTTTCTCTATTTCCTGTGTTTTTATGACTTCTTAACTTTTTTCTTTGTCCTGAGGAAGGGACAGGTCGTCCCGAAAATTTGACAATTATTATTGTTCGTGTCGTTGGTCATTTTAAGTGCTTTATATAAATTTCCATCCGTGACCTTGTATCTACTTAGTAGATCCGACACTTAGGATATACAGTGTTGTTGGTTTTTAGCTTTATGTAGAGAGAGAGAGAGAGAGAGGGAGAATTGAGATTTTAAAAAGATGGACTTATATTTGACGTCGGGTTGTAAATGACATTGACATGAATAATGGAGATTTTAAAATACCATTAAATACATCTATCATTATTTAGAAATAAAGAATTTTATAATATTAAACTAGTAGTCAATATATATACGTGAAGTTTAATAAATTAGGAAATATAATACTGATTTTTGAAATATAACTATTCATAGTTGTTGTGTAAATATAAAAGGAGCAAAATTTTGTTCTCAAAATTATAAATAACAGAATCTAGATTTCACGTAAATGTTCATCTCCTCTTATTTCAAAACGTCCAAGCCTGAATATTGATGATGATACATGAAGAGTTTCAAAAACATGTTATTTAAAACGGTGTTGATGTTCCTCGGCAAACAGGGTTCTGTGGAAAAAAGATAAATTACTAATTAATTTTATGCAGTTAAGCATATTTTCATTTAAATTTACTGCAGTTCAGTGTCCATTTCTTTGATCGTATAAAATTCAAATTGCTTTTTACTTTTCTATGTAAATTTGCATTGTTTTTTTTTTTCCTTTCTATTAAAGTTGAAAAAGGACTTATTTTCTTGTTCAAGATAGTACATACCGACAATGTTATCCTGGGAATAATGGATCCTTCTGAATGTTTTCGGACTTCTGTCATTCAATTAAATGATTTTTTTTATTAGCAACAAACGAAATAAGTGTAGAAAATTATCAAAGTGAAATAGAAATTGAGGTTAATTCGTCAATTACCTTTGATTTCCTCTTCACTGTATAAATCTTTAGAACTTGATTTTGAAACCTAAGTCAAACAAATACTAGGTGTATTGAACTAGGTATCTAATGTTTTATTTCAAATAATTCACAAATTCAAGGTCTCTAATCTAAGTAGTAAGGTTAAAAGGGGGCGGGGGGGGGGGTCACCAGTGAAAATACATTAATAATGATTTTCAGTTCGTTTTTTTCCTTTGAATAATTGCTGTGTGGTTAACTACTTAAAATGAATAAACAATGCAAGTTAATATACTTACTAATTTGTTTTTGGACGTTCGAGTTGTTAATGTTCTTGATTCGTATTTTCTTATTTTTCTTGACATTGCTTGCCTAACCTATGAAAAATACAACACTTGTTCACTACAACTCGAGTGCTTTTGATTGTTAATTTATGAAAAAAAAGTATAGGAAATCTTGAAATGTAAACAATCAGTAATATATCTGACGTTACACAGAAATAAATTGTGAACTTGTCCTCTTCTTTATATCTAAGCAGAGTAGTGATTTAACATACTGTAAAACTGAGGTAAAGATGTCACATATATTCTACCTTGTGTATTTTGTTTTATTGTTCAGTTATGATACGTAAAAGCACACTATACCTGATTGTTCAAAAGGACATGGAACAGGAAAATAAAAAGGCCCTGAAATACAAGAAATATAGCGCATTTTATACTTGACAAAAATTGATATCTTTTTTTATGAATGTTATGTTTATAATGCACACGTCTTGTAAATTCTTTTAAATTTTTTAAACCAGAAATTAATGGTCCACACCATTTAACTTAGTCATCTTTATCATCCAATTAATAAATACTAATGTATAAATAAGCAAAGCCTAAATCGAAGCCATCGACTAAAAAACCATGATTTAAACAATTCTTATTAATATTCAGTACATTAAGGCTTGAGGTCATATTATATACAATTGAAGCCTTGCTGTTGATTTGCGGACTTTTACATATTTCTTTGTAAATCTTTGATCCCCAAACACTAGTATGTCCCCAGCTGCCTGATCCTTGGGTCATGATTTGTGAAAAAATCTATACCATATATTCTAGATTTGGACGCTTTCTTATTAAATTGTATTATCATAATCGCATCGTTCTTGCAAAAAGGATTCATTTGATATTCAATAGATACTATTAGGAAGAAAAGAAGACAAAAGCATAAACAGACAGTCCATTAACAAAACGTATGTGTGTAATGTATCCTATTTTAAAAAAAAAAAATACCGCGATACAATGGAACCCGCAATATAATGAGAGATGAGTATATATTTTATACTAAAGCACTCTCAGAAAGAACATCTTCTACACTTCCACAATTTAATGATTTTTTAGGAACTTGGATGAAAAATTAAGGTCTTTAGTCTTCTCTTTCAAACAAGATCCGAAACAATCTCAAATTGGTTTTGTTTATTTTGCTAAGAGGTATACCTTCTAAGCAATTTTACAGGAATTCTTCAAAAAGAAAAATGGTCTTCTGTGATTCTGTATAAATTTTCTGATACACATAAAGAATATAAAATTTCAGAATCATCATTTGACATCTATTCCATAATTTCTTGATTGATAATACCTCCTTACCTCGTCTGAAAACTTCATGAAAATCGGTTCATTCAGTAATATTTATTTATCTTGTGAAGTTTAGAATATCTTATACATACATAATACAATAGGAAAATGTACAAAGATGAGTTAGTCTGTATATGTTTTACATTTTGCACTTATTTTATACATATTTAAGGCCAATGGTGTACAAATCTGCGATTGATTCGGAGGACTTCTCTTGGAAAAAAAACACACTGTTTCCTTTTATATAGAATGATCATATATTATCATAGTAAATATTATAGAGTTGACTCTACCATACCACAAAGGCATCTTACTACAAACATACCTTTTTGTATGAATTACCAACCTAGAAAATTGTTACATACAATACCCCTCCCCTACACACACACATCATTTGCATCATGGTATGAGACATTGACTAACACACAGACATATGGACAAGGTGTGCTAATAGCATATCCTCCTTAAGATTTCGTTGACATATAGTAAAAGAAAGACTTACCTGTAGAGAGTTAAATATGGCGAATAAATATTCGAAGACAACTGTGCTGCTATCTATTGATAAAATCCCAAAAATCCAGGTTAACCCAAGGATTGGTAATAATGCACTCATTCCTCGAACTCCGCTTCTGCAACATGAACAATAAACACTATTGCGCACTCACACACACAGAGTTAAAATCAGTCTATACTTTTGGGGGTTGTGAGTTGATGTTTTCATTAACATCATATTTGAAACATGACATTAAAGGTGTATATGCCTTTCATATTGCTGATTACTTCATTATGTAAACAAAAACATAAAGTGTAGTTTATTATGTTCATAGTATCATACTACAAGAATACAAGTCAATACTTTATTCTATATACGCAGCATATTAACCATTATTTAAAATTGAAATATCGGGTCAATTTTGTTCTCTACTCAGTCAAGTGTTTTGACTGTACCAATAACATGTTTCTACCGATTGTTAAAAAATTCTCAGCGTAGTACGCTTGCGTAGAAACATCTTACTGCATGAGTAAATCAACATTGATCCTGCAAACTTGTATCAGTATCACAGGTTTAGATAAAGACATGTACATAAGGCGAATACTCATCAAGTACAACTTACATTGTCTTTTCTTTCAGAGACTTTTTCACCATAAAAGAGGAAGAGAACATGGTTTTCATTACCAAAGCAACGATGACAAAATTTACCTGGAGGATTTGATAAGAAGTGTTTTAGAAAATATTGCTCCATAAAAATACAGGATATTCGAATTTAAATTTAATGTCTATAACAAATGAATATGTAATTAATGAGTTATTTAAACCATGCAAGATGATACTACAAAAGAATATTTTATGGTTTATCGCAGACAGTTTAAGATCAAGCTACAATTTGTATGCATGTATATGTGTATACATTAATTACTGCTTATTGTTCATGCCATACATCCTAGAGGGCATGATTTTCATCATTTAATGCAATTATTCCTTCAATTATAAAATAAATAAGATAATACGTTTTGTTATTTCATTACCGAAATAATCATCAGGGCGGGAACAATAAATCCATAAAGAGCACTATTTCTCAGCCAGCAACTGAAAAAATGCATGTTAATGTTTTGTTATAATATGATAACAAGATAACTTAGAAATAATGGTAATTGTGGGAAAATTAATTTGAATTATAATGTTCGGAAAAGTATACATCAGGTACATGTATAACTAAGATTTTCAAAATCGTCTTAAGTAAGCATTGAAAGTGAAAATCTATCGTTGCTTTTCATACCACTATATTAGATTTGGTTCTTTATCAATTTGCCAATGGTGAATTAGCTTCAATATAATGTCCTTTGAAATGAGAATCACTTGTAAAACTAAATTTTGAACAATTCAGCTTGATAGAACCATTCATATTGGGATAATTATCAGACGTATGTTTCTACTTACAACGTTTCATTTCCTATGTCATGCAGTTCTGTTGCTCCTAAAGTAATTCCAACGATAGCAGCTGGGAGTCCTTTTGTAATGAAACAAAAAATAAATTCACTTAACTTTTTACTGTGTATTAGTCAAATTTGATCATTTGGAACAAGAAATTCCGCTTCTTACAACCTTATAAAATTCGGATGTATGAAATTAGAGTTATTGCTAAAAACTACTATGTCAAAGTATTTCTAGAAGCAAAGAATAAGTTACTTGTACCACTATAATTTTTCTGTAAATACTTTACCCCAGCCCAATAATAGTAAAACAGCTGAACTAGATCTTGTACTGAAAACATCGAGTATGGCAACTGCAAGATCAATGCCCAGGGCCAGCATGATGCAAAACATTGCAAGGAAAAAGTATTGAAGTAGAGCCGCAATGATAGTACATCCGGTCTAGAACAAATTGTATGTACATGTAAACGTATGAGCGTAGAGTTTCTGACGATATCTAATTAGTGTATGAGTTTGTTAATAAGAAAGGTATATTTGTATGGAATTTCAATAGTGCCTGGAACAGATTGAATATATATATGCTTCAAGAGAACCCAATTAAATTTATTCGTGAAAATAAAAGACCAGTCAAAAATAATCTGCGAAGTTATGGGAGTATCAGTGAAATTATGAGAGAATGTTTATGGTGTAAGTGAGATCAGAAAACTTTAAGTATGTGATGATATGTCTTTGAATTAAATAGCACTGGTTATCGAAGCAAGGGTATCTTGATTTAAATTTCACATTAAAATATATTCATGATAGCAAACAGGGGAATTTATAATAAATTTCAGTATTTACCTCATTCTTAGTTTGATTTCCAGCGGTTAGAAACAACATATAGGCAAAGAACAAGGCCGCACAAAGGTTGATAATTAGTACAGATCGACGAGATTTTATATACCTGTAATGACGTAAGGAAAATGTATGAGTTTTCAAGCTTACTGAAGAAGACACTATGTTTCATAAGTTTATCAAATGAACAATGAAGTTAGAAATTAACCTCCAAAAATACAGGTATATGACAATTGTTGCAACTGATCCAACTATTGAAAAACTGCATCCAACGATAGAAATCATTGTCAGCCATTTCTTATCCTCTGCTGATATCTAATAATATAAAAAGAAATCATATCAAATAGAAAACACTGTTTTAATATGGGTCTAATGTTATTTATTTAAAAAAAAGTATTTTTGGATTTCATATAATAAATAAATATTCGATTAACAAACACTTTGCTGTATGATTGTATGAAGCACAAATCTATTAAATTGTTTCAGGGAAAACCTATTACTCACTTTTAAATTAATAGAATTATCAAAGGAATCGTGATAATCAATAAATTGTTGTACCTTTTTACCCTCAGTATCATGCAGACTCATTAATATAGCAAAGTTTGTCAGATGATTACACTCACACACTGTCTGTGAACTATCGGAAAGGGAAGTGGAAACAGTACAGCCCGTCTTGTTCCATAAGCTTCAAATAAAGAATTTTAGTTAAGTAATAAATTAAACGCATGAAATATGGAGATAACAAATAGTATTTAAGCTCAAAGTCCATTAAAACAATACAAATTGGGAACAGAGCGAACACGGACCTCTAAAAGCATCAGAGGTGAGTTAAGGTGCCATGGAGGAGTGAACATCCCCTGCCGTTCGGTCACACCCGCCGTGTGCTCCTTCTCATGATCGGGAAATAACGGGAAAATCCGTCGACAATTCAGTGTATAATTCTCAGAGAATGAGGTAAGTTTTAAAAAAAAAAACAGTTAATAATATTAAATCATACATTGCTTTGTTCATTAAATCACTGTGTTTAGTGAAAAGTTACAGTGTTTCACAAAATTATTGTTGACAAAATAACAGTACAGACTCATCTGTACATTGTGTAGGTGTCAGTGCGGCACCAATCGTGCAGGCTTCGATCTTTTTGACATCTTTTATCGGAATGTTAATCGTTGAAATATCAGAATTCATTACCCAAAATATGGAATAATGTATTAGCTCTTTGATTTGAAGGACCTTTTCGAATCAATTGTAACATTGCACAGAAATACGGGATGTTTTGTTTCAATCATGTATGGATTGATCATTATTGCAATTAAAACCTTTATATAGGGAAAAGAACTTTGATACTCGAAATAAGAAGTCTATTGGAACCTAATTGCTGCACCTCAACATTTAAAAACAATGTTATTTAAAGGTTCTTTAAGTATATGTCAACAATAATAACAAATTTCCATACACGTCAGTAACGTCCTACTTGAGCTACTTGATACTAGATCAAGAAACCGAACGCTTACGTGGGAAGTTGCAATGTATATTAAACCAGGGTATAGTCGGAACTGAGAGGTATGTTGTAAAACAGCAAAATCATGAATCTTTTGCACAAATATCTTTGCGTGATATATGAGATGCCCATGTATGTATATCCTATTTCTGATGTCATCCTCCCGTATTCGAAATTCAATTTATTATGACCTTTGCAATATTTGAGAATATTTTTATCTTTCGATTATACAGTTAATCAATAAAATTGAGGTTTTTATTCCATGGTAATTTTTTTTAACTTTTTTGATCATATTCTTTTCTCGTTTTCTTAACTTTTCCTTGGTTGTCTCAGAAAAAAGCAAATTATTCCATTATGCAGTCTTTAAGAAGAAACTTGTATATTTTGAACTTGAGTTAAATTCTGAAATATTTTAGAAACTATGTGCCCATATGCCTTTTCGTTATTTATACTAACATTTCCAATAAAGAATGGGCCGTTAAACATGAAGAATGGGAGCTGTTATTTTTTTTTATTTGTGACATCCCTTGAACATGGTTTGAGAACGGACACTAGAATTACATGCACTTTAATATATGAAAGTCATTAATTTTATATATATATATATATATATATATATATATATATATATATATATATATATATATATATATATATATATATATATATATATATTTAAAACTGGATCATTTGATTTTTCTCAGCTCAAAATCTATTCTACCCTTAAAGTATGCTACAATGAAAAGTGATGCAACTTACTGTTTTGGTTCATAAAGAAAGACGCACTCCGAGATGCTGTTGTTGGCTGACACCTAGTGAAAAGATAATGATTTCATACGTAAAAGAAAGATTCATAAATATTTCAATTTCTTTTCTTGAAGTAAAGAGTAAGCAAATCTTTAAAGTGGGATAACTAGTTTTGAAGACAGAGTTACGTTTTTTGAAATTCTTTGAAAGGTGAGCGTGATGTTACCAGAAAGTCCAGCGTCCAAATTGTCCACAGTAAGCGATAAAACACTCGAGTCGATTGTTGAGTTCCTTCTTTGAAAAATAGAAAGATTTCTTGAACCATGCATACAAGTATTACTCTTCGAACAACATACATGCGCCACAATAATTATCATACTTCAGAATTTATTTTCATGATGACATTTGTTCATAATAAGTGACATATTTTTTGGTCAATTTTCTTCATCTGGTCCCTCAAAACTGTATTCTACCTCATTCGGTAGAGCGCTTGCTCCGTGATCAGAAGGTCGTGGGTTTGAGTCTCGGCCGCTACTGACCTAAGTCGATAAAAAATAGGTAGCAACTGTTCCTTCACCAAACGCTCGGCACTTTGAAGTGAAAGTTGCGGGTCCTTCGGGTGAAACCTTAAAAACTGAGGCCCCGTGTCACGGCAGGCGTTGGCACGATAAAGATCCAGCACTGCTCAATGACCGTGAGTGCCGAGTAAAGGTTCATATTTGAAGCCCCTCACCAGTATATGGTTACGTCTCTATATGTGTGAACAATTTTCGAATGGGACGTAAAAAAAATAATATCAATCAGTCAATCATAACTGTATTCAAACTACCTCAAAGGTTCGTCCTTTCGTCCATTTTTTGTTCAACACAACTGATTTACCGGAAGAATAATATGTAGTAAATAATTTTTTGGAGATATTCATTTCGGTATTAATTTTCATTCGTATTCAAATACTTCATATTGCTCTCACTAGGCAGGGGTTAGAGTGGCATGTGAATTTAAAACTATTGTGTGTGCTTTTCAACAATTTTCAAGGTAAAATATCCACAGCATAAAGTATTTTAACAGAAATTCTTTTAAAACAATAAAGTAAAAAAATATAAGTCGATGACATACTTGCCAGAATTTTCGGTATCAAACTTTGACCCAATGTTATCGTATTTTACTGCTGTAAATGCAACAGTATTATCTGAAATTGAAAGAAACATGATAAACAAAAGCGCTTATTTTTTTCAAAACTTGACTTAAAAATCCATATATATATATATATATATATATATATATATATATATATATATATATATATATATATATATATATATATATATATATATATATATATATATATATAATAAAGACAAAGAGTCCATAAACAACAAATACGGGACCCCTCTGTCAAGAATACGCCATGCAGTGAACATTTTGATTCATGTGCGAATGGAAACTTTTTAATATTTCCATTTTATAAAGTTCTAGAAAATAATGAACAATTACGGAGAGCCAAGGAAGATTACTTTGTAAAATTACTTAAACCTAAACTAAATGTAAATTGAACATTATAGCTTAAAAGTAGCAGTCTATTTCATCACAATGATATGTGTTCAATTCTATACTTTTAGCGCCCTAATGACATTTACCTGCTGCCTTTGTGACGTCATAATAACGACGTCATAACAACCAAGTTGTATTGTTTTTATAAACTTTGTTACACTCTGAAGAGCCTCACGGCGAAAGCGCTAAGTATAATAATTTTAAAATGTGAACTTGTTTGTTCATCTTGGATTTAATTTCAATATATTAGGAATGACTCTAATTCTTGGCCAAATTATTCGAGTATAACCTGGTTTGGGTCAGTTTACGCTTTATAATCCGCGAAGCGGATTATAAAACAGCGTAAACTGACCCAAACCAGGTTATACTCGAATAATTTGGCCAAGAATTAGAGTCATTCCTTATAATTTAATTTTAAAATCATTAAATAACTATGGGTGTAAAATTTCGTTACTTTTTATTAGTTCAAATTTGCCGCTCAATAATACAACCATAGTAACGGAAGTAACGGAAGTGATGGGAATCGAGGGGAGGTAAAAACTGATACATAGGCATAGCAGCCATGTTGTTTGGTTACATGTGGTAAGATCGAATTATTGTTTGAATTTAAAGGTACATTTATTAAATCTGGAATTTTCCATGAATCCCGAGGACTGGAAATGAGAGGATTGTATGGATACAGATGATTCAGCTGGTTGTCAGGGGGGTGTGTCCCCATACCAAACCAGGTTATACAGAAATAATTTGTGTTCCTTTTTGGATATTAACCAATCAGAGGCTAGAATACAAACAAAATTAAATTATATATATATATATATATATATATATATATATATATATATATATATATATATATATATATATATATATATATATATATATACCTCCAATGTTTTGTAATGCAGATTCAGGCAATGTGAACCTTGTAACAGAATCAGTTAAATTTTCAGTCTCCTTTGGAAAAACGATCTTCTGTTTTGGAATTCTTTCAATGCTCAACACTACAATGGGAAATACAAATCCAACGCTTTGAAAAGATCATTGGGGCAAGTTAACATAATGTTCTTATCCACGTCTCAGATAAATTAAATAGTCTTACAAAGATGCTGTTTCTCAACCTTTACTGTCTGGTTCACTGCGAGAGACTTCGTTACAGACTTTGCAAATCCGTCAACAGACAACAGTATTTTACCTGTAACCTATTGTAACAATAAAATATTTCATGATTGGTCTTTTTTAATGTTTATTTGATTTATTCTTCAAACTATATTTACAAACAAGAAAACGAAATACCTCTTTTTCCTTAGTAGGGTCTTTTACGTGTTCCCTTCCTGTGTCCAAGATATTACTAACAACTCCAATGAATGTCTACAAGTATGACAAATTTAGTTACTGCATTGATGGATTATTCTTACTCGGACACTGCACAGTAAAAACATCGTACTCTTTGCCAGCTACAAGAAAGCTTAACAACTATCTGAAATTATTAGTCTTGCGTGGAAAGGATAGACATGAGATATTGTTTTCAAATTGATGCTGGTTTCCACAGAGTATAACTGTATATCATATACAAAGTCTTACTTCTGTTGTTTTCTCGGCAGCTTGGTGATCGGTAAAATTGATGTTTTTGTTCGATATCTTCGATATAAGGTCGACACTTTGTATGATGTTCACGTGAGCCATACTTGTGTCCTCCTGAGCGGTTGACGTATTGTTCACGACAGAAGATATAGCAGATAATGATGACTCAATGACATCTCCTGAAAACTCATCTGCGTCATTCGATTCAGTGTTGAGTGCCTAAAATAAATCAGGGAGGGGAATTTTTATAAGCTGGCTATATATATATCTAATATTTGAGTAATAATCTTTAAGAACTACGCACGCTAACTCTCGATTCCCGCTTACATTTTATACCCATCTAATTCAATCTTTGTTTAATGCAAAGAACAGTTCAATGGTAATTGACTGATAATTTTAATGCCAGTGTTAAATAGTTAATTACCCCTAATTGCAGCTCTTTAAATAAGGGGGGTAGACGATATTTTCCATTGAAATAGGACTTTAAAGCATCAACACATTTTAAAATATTCTTGGATATGAATAAATGTTCCTTAAATCTTTTCTTATGTTATACGCATATAAAATTAAAGATATATTATTAATAATGTACAATGTTTTAGTTGTAAAACCCTTTGAAATTGGTGTAAAAATAAGCATTTTTGAAGATTTTTGTTTGTAAACATATGCCCCTCCCCCCACCCTAATTGAAGCACAAAAAGCTTTGGTATGAATTTGTGAAATGACAATCCATATTACCTGTACAAAGGAAATTTTGTTTTACTGGGGGGGGGGGGGGGAGAGAGATGTTTTTAAAATATTTTCCGTTTTCCATTGATTTCTATAGTGAAAAACACAAGTTTTACCAAAATTATAGAGTTATCTCTCTTTGTTTTCCCAAAGAAGTAATGTTTTATGAAAATTCATATAAATATCTATATAGATAACAAAAATCATGCAGATGTGTTAAGTTTTGAAAATTGACTTGGAGGTAGGCGGGAGAACAATACTATCGTTCGCAGTTCTTTCAACATCTTGTTTTTATAACAGTTTGTAATGTCAATACAATGCTCAACTTAAATTTTGCCAAATAAATTTTCTTCTTTCAAACAGATCATAATTTTTTATTACAATACATTAAACTTTATTCCATGATTTTAATAGGTCATGTGTGATTTTTTCATAGAAATAAACAAGGTGCATAATAACAAAAATTACGTACATTTTCAATCTTTTCTAGTTCTTCCTGCTTACAGTCATCTCTATTTGGACTTTCCCACAGACCAGCATTGTTACATTTCCTCTTTTGAATACCTTTTTATGAAAAACTCAATTATTTATTTTTTAATCGTACTATAAACAGAAATTCATTTAGATTTTTTAAATGGAAATTTCATACATTCAGAAAAAATACCAATATATTTATCTGGACAAGGAGCCGTAGCTTCGTCTCCGGATTTTGTACTTGGCCATATGTTTTCTTCCACACAAAGTTTAACTTCTGTTATTTCAAAGACAAATAAATTTATGAGTATTATATTAAAATTTCTTCATTTACGTATTGAATTTTAAAAAGTTTACTTGATATTTTGTAATAATTTCTGGATAGCGATATCAATTGCCAATAGAATAGAATTTCCAATTACCGACCAGGTGGAATTATGGAAAGGTATTTCGAATCTTAAATCAGTTGAATGGAATAAAATTTTTCTCCTGTATTTTAAATAGGATTTTACTTGCAAAATTGACATGTCTTGTTAAACTAAATACCAATGCAAATGTAATTGAAGCCCTTAGTTGTAAATTATAGACTATCAAAATGTGTACGAAATATTCTTATTTTTGACGCAAAACACAGTGCATCTTAGTATTTATAGCCCAGTGCATATTGAGAAGAACATTTGCACGAGTTCAGACATAAATAGGAAATGTGGACATTTGTAAACTGATAATTCTTCTTTTTCTGACTTGAACAATCTAGTTTTGTCAAAAGTGAAAGAAAAAAGTAATGTGAGATTTAAGGATCCAAATTCAAATTAATTTTTAAGCATAATCGTTTTAGGTTTTTTTTTTTTTTTTTTTTTTTTTTTTTTTTTTTTTTAAAGCTATATATTACTAAATCTGGGTTCAAATACAATATTTCACGTATCTTTTTATACAGATGCTAACATCTCAATCACTGAGCTATAAAGTCACCATAGTTTCCTTTTGTATTAACGGAATAAAGATAAATAGATAAATATCAGAAATCTGAATTTTGATATCCCTGAAGTCTTACTATGTGGGCATCGATTTGAGTTTGATAGTTTTCTAACTTTGAAATTCATTGTCATCCGTAGTTTTGAATGAACAACTTCAATTTTTTGATTATACGAGAAGAAACTCATTGACAGAAAAGGGCCTTGAAAATTAATTAACTTTGCAAATAAATCAGTTTTATCTTTTAGTGCATCCTCACCTGGCTTCACAACTGTTATTGCAGAGTATTTTCCAAAATTTGTGCAGTTTCCAAGTCCACAGGTTATATTGTAGTTTGTGGAACTTTGTAGAGCAGTTAACGTGTACGTTAAGTTGTATTCATTCCCAGTAGTACCGGTGATTTCAGTCAAATTGTTAAAACACAAAATCAAGGTCGTATTTGATTTGATGTATGCGTCTTTTTTGTTTCGGATGTAACAACTGATATTAGTTTTACGGTTTTCAACAACGGAAGAGGTAATTGGCTTTATCACCAAAACAGGTGTCTGCTTCACTTGTATACTTATATCTGCTGTTCCGCTGTAATATATTCCTGGTCCATTTACTTCCACGTTACACGTATACTGTCCTAAAAGTAAAATTAAAAATATTTAACGACGACACAACAATCTTAAAAGTATTATAACTTTTAAACTCTTCACATTAAAGTGAATAAAATTTCTTGCAAAAAATGACAATAAGTTATGAAAGTGAAATTTTTAAATTAAAAAAAATATTTTGTTTTTTTAAATTATTTTTGAGATTTTTTTGTAAATTCGTTATAAATTAAAACTTTATAATTAACATTAAAATATCTACATGTATTTGACTCATTTACATACCTTTTACTAGAATGCTTATTTGAAGAAACCTTAATGTTGAATTACAGGAAATGTTAGTACACTTTGTATTAATCGTTATAAACTTTGAGTTTTGAAGTATCAATCCATTTTTCAACCAAATGACCTTTACAATATCTCTTGCACTCTGCTTCAAGAAATTGCACTCAGTGGCACCATTTCCTCCCTCAATAATAGTAGTTGACGTTATATTTACCGTCAGATTTGCAATTACTGTGGGAAAAAAGCTTTTATTAATCATGATTCGCAAAATTCTCTATATACGAATTAAAAGTACATAGTACTTTAAGCAAAATAGCAAATACTAGTAAGCTTATCGATAAATGTAATGATTTCTCAAACACAATTTATATCAGAATTATTAACAGTTCAAATGATGTACATGACTGTACATAACTACAATGTATATAGTATTGAAAAAAAATTCATAATTGATTGGTTAATAAAGGTCTAAATCAGATAAAACTAACAAGGTTGAAAAGTTCACTGAAAAATGAACGGCTTCTCCATGGATTTGATCACATACCAACCAAGTTTATTCCACAGTAAACTTTTTTTTACCTTATTTTTACATTAATTTACATTAGAGAAGAATTTTCGAATAAAAATATTACTTGAACGAACCCGTGTAACACTATTTATATATATATTTCTGCTTATATTGATCATTCACTTTTTTGTGAGTCTTTTATATATTTGAAGTCGAAAGCGGTGGTATTTCAGCAAGAAACGTTTAATTCAGCTTACATACATGTACCTCCAAAGAAATTTCGGGTAAAAAAGGTAAGCGCTATTTTAATGCTAGATTTATTATCCAAACCTTTCTTCACACCGAAGGAATATCTTATGGACATCTTTTGATTAAAAAATATTTCCATATGTTTAATTTTTTATATCTGCTTTTTAGTCAAAAGTGCCGAAATCAGTTTCACTGTGACAGAAATATGTAAGCGAAGTGGAATTCGTTCACACTATGGCCTCTGACCCCCTAATAACTTCATACAGAATTGAACATATTTGCTTTTCAATAAGTTCATAAAGATTTGCAAATGTAAATATAAAGTATTAATGAATAACAGCGGTTTATGACAACAATGTATTTCCATTGTTTAGGGGATTTACTAGTAATCAGCAACCGTATTTTTTTCCTAACCAAATCATATTTTTAAGAAGTTTTAAGGGCTCATTTTTATGTAAATAACTTAATAAATCCTTTCTGAACTAATCAACAATAAAACATATTGAACCTTGTATCGTTGAGGGTAATTGTGTTGTTATAATTTGTGAGGTTGTGGAATCTGCTGTAGGGTTTAGAGTTGATGTCATTTCCGTGGGTAAAGGGATAATAGTTTCTGTTGTTTCCGTCGAATTTGTTATAATTTGTATTGTTGATTCAGAACTTATTGTTGGTGTTAGTGTAGTTTCCGTCGTTGTTGAAGGATTCATAGTTGTGGTTCTTGATGTTTCCTCTGTGGAGGTGTTTTCTTCTGCTGTTGACATGTTTGATAGATTTATTGTTATCGTTGTTTCTGCCGTAGGTGTGATTGATGTTGATTCTTCTTGTGTTGTTGTGTCACTTGCTGTTATTGTTGTCCCTTGCGTTGTTGATGTTTTTGACACGAATGTAGAACTCATTGTTGGTGATGCTGACACATTTGTTGAATATGTTGTCGTTCGTAATGTAGATGTCGATGGAATAGATGATAAACTTTCTTGTGTTGTTGTTGGTGTCTCTGACGAGGTTATTAATTCAGCACTTGTTATTGATTCTGTATGTATAATTATGGGAGTTGATGCCTCTGTTGTTGGTTTGTCAGTTGTTTGTGTTTCTTCTATAGATGTCTGAGTAACTGTTGTTTCTGATGCCGTTTGTTCTTCGGTTTCTACTGTTACAACAGCAGTCGTTATTTCTTCTGTAGTAGTGGTAGTAGTAGATACGAGGGAAGTTTTATCATTTAAAGTTGTTGTGTCTGATGTAGTTTGATATTCCGTCGTTTGCTCCCTTGGTATTGTACTTGATTCCATTCCAGACATGGTTGCACTGCTTGTCAATGTCGCTGCTGTATCAGTTGTTATGGTTGTTGGTGTTTCAGTAACATTTCTTACTATTGCTGCCGTTGTTGTTGTTGTTGATCCCGTTGTTATTGCTTCTGTTGATTTATTCTCTTGTGTTGGCAATGTGGCATCTGATGTGATTGTGGTCACTGTAATCGGTTCTGTTGTAGCCGTAGACGCTGTTGTTGAATTTAACGTTATTGTTTGTGTCGTTGATTTCATTGATGTTGATTCTTCTTGTGTTGATGTTTGAGTTGTTGGTGTTGTCGTTTTTTGCGTTGTTTGTGTTGATGACATTTGTGTTGAAGTTCCTGTTGGTGTTGTTGACACTTGTGCTGAATATATTGTCATTGTTGTCGTTTGTTGTGGTGGTGTTGTTGGAGTTGATGTTGAAATTCCTTGTATTGTTGTAGGTGTCTCTATGGAGGTTGTGAATACAACATTTGTTATTGAGTCTGTATGTGTAACTATAGGAGTTGATGCATCTGTTGTTGGTTTGTCCGTTGTTTGTGTTTCTTCTGTAGATTTCTGAGTAAAATTTGCTTCTGATGTTGCTTGTTCTATGGATGTCTGAGTAAATGTTGCTTCTGATTTTGCTTGTTTTTCGGTTGATGTCGTTGATGTTATTTTTGATTCCGATGTTCTTACATCTGTTGATTTATTTTCTTGTGTTGGCATTGTGGCATCTGATGTAATTGTGGTTATTGTAATCGATTCTGGTGTAGCCGTCGAAGCTGTTGTTGGCATGGTTGAGTGTGGTGTGTTCGCTGTTTGTGACATACTTTGTGTTGAGTTTAATGAAGATTCAAACGTAGATATAAGCGTTTCTGTTTTTGTTGATTTACTTGGTATTGTTGTAGTCCGTTGTGTTGTTAAGTCTGTAGATGATGAAGTTAAATTAAACGGTAAAATGGCAACAGGTGTCGTTGTCGATGTTGATCCAGCAGATTTATCACGTGAAGTGGGTTCTGTTGTTTTTGTCGTTGTTATCGCTGATGAAAGTGACTCAGAAATTGTTTCGTTCTTGATAGGAAATAATGTCGTTGAAAATGTTGTAGAATGTGACGAATGAATTATAGATGTCATTGTTTTTACTCCATTTGAAGAGGCAGTACTTGTTTCTGCTTCCGTTGAATATACATGTATTGTCGAAGAAAGAGAACCTGCTGTTGACGACTGTGTTGTTGGTTCTTGTGTAGACTTTGTTGTTAATGAATTCATTGATGTTTCAGAAAGCGTCGATGAAGCTGGTCTAGGAGTTCCTTTTACTGTTGTCACTGTTGTGAATGATGTAGTATTCATTAGAGCTGTTGTCAAATTTGATTTAGTTGTAGGATTTGGTGTGCTAGCTGAGGCTACGTCAGTTATTGCTAAAACACAAATAACACTACATGTAATTGCTATATTTGCATATAAGATATGTAAAGGTTTTTTAATATATTCTTTATAAGAATGAGGTCTTGTCGGTGTGTCGACAACATCAGGAATAAAAATAAATTCTTCCTCTGGATTCCATTTAGATAAAAAGAGGGATTACATCTTAAATTACAAATGACATTGCATCATTTGAGATAAGAGAGATTCTCTCTCTCTCTCTCTCTCTCTCTCTCTCTCTCTCTCTCTCTCTCTCTCTCTCTCTCTCTCTCTCTCATGATTTTGATTCTGCATGCGACTTTTATTTTCCAGATAATCAAAAATTAACTTTAAGATATTTTGAAGCAGCCACATTGCAAGTACCTGGAGTTCTTACTTTGACTCATCTTACAATAACCTTGGGATGCATAATATCAATCAAGATTCGGGTGATAAATTTTAAAACTCTTTTGTTCTATGCTGGACTGATCTAGAAGGTGTTAGAAGCTGGTCAATTTCCGAGAGACTAGACATCGAACTTTGACCAACCTTAGATACATTCTGCATTTTCAAAAGTATACTAACTATCATTTTTCAGATGATTCCTTTCATTTTAATTTTATGTCTATATTTAAGGTGAATGAATAGAATTATCTTTTAGGGATGCTGCCACTCTCAAGAGCCTACTGGCCCCGGAGCCTAATCTTTTGTTCCACAAAGTTTGTAAGTAATTAATATTCCATCATAGATCACATATACTAATAGTCTATTAAACATCTTTCAATATTCTCTATTTACTTATTGAATGATAAGTTGTAACTGAGAGAACGGGGCAATTTCGAAGTGGATATATGTTTTGCAATGGCCAACCTTGTATAGATGATATTACAAGAATGAATACATTGCTGCAGATGCTGTATTTTCTGCAGGTGTCATAAGATTCAAAATTTTATTCAATTTCAACGTTGATCTTATTTGCATATTAGATACTGCATTGCTTTATTTTTTCTTCAATTCAAGACCACATTCCATATGTTTGCATGTCTAACAATAACAATTATTTCATAGATATGTTTCAGATTCTGCACATGATCAGTATTTCATGACTGAAGAGTCAGATCAAAATATTGGAACATTCTTAAAGTACTATTATTTATTACGCAAACACTTTTAGGTCTTACACAATCATTAAATAATTAGCAAGATCATGATAAATGCTGTCTGTATCTATATTTATCATAAAAATAATATTTCATATTTTGGTGGTTAATTACTTCTTATTTTGGTTGTAAACCTAGCATTGGTGAGCACTGTGTTGCACGGCAGTGAGTAAGGCGCTTATTCAAGGGAAAAAATGCTAAAATTTCACTTTTTCTGTTAAGTCAGAATTATCCTGAATGTTTTTTTAATGTCATATTTTATAATTATATTTTATATATTATTATATATTTTATTTAATTTTATATTTTATAAAGCTTGTAGTTTTTCGAATGTTATATAGGGGGAAAAAATGATCTCAAAAGCTTTATGTCTATGAAGATATGAAAACATAAATCAGCTATTGCACAGTTTCCTTGTGGGGTTTTACTACTGAGGATAGAAACAGGGCGCTATTATAGAAATTTTGATGATTTAATTTATCAATGGACAATAATCTATTTCAAAATCTCATCTCTATGTTCCCAAGATAAACTGCAAACTTTATATTTAAATCTTAAAAATTACGACAAAATATATTCTGAATGTCATTACCACTATAATAGCTAAACAGTGACATATAGGTCCAATGGGTCGGATGTTTATGTTGTTATTGTATTAGTACATTTTTTGTATACATTCTATCATGTAAATCACTATAATAAGTGATTTACTTACTCACTTACATACAAAATTACCTCAAATTCTGGCGGTAAACCTAGAATGGATGAGCACGGTTAAAACACAAAATGAAATAACGACGCAAAATGCAATAAAATGAGATTGTTATATAATGTGTTATTACATTTTGCGTCGAGGTCAACGCAGAATGTAATAACGCAAAATGTAAAAAATATCCTTTTAAGAATTTTGTGGTATTACATTTTGCGTTAAGGTTAACGCAAAAGGTAATAACACACTCTATGGATTTAATATTAAAATTTAGGTATCATTGAAGCCTGTTATAAATAACATTTCACAAAGTTTCTAAAATATGTCGATACTTTATGGTATTAAAAATATAAATAAATGAGTATATGAAAATATGCGTATGTATTTATATTTTTTAAATATTACATTTTGTGTTTCTATCATTCTGTGTCGAAATTTCCACAAACTTTATTTACACCAACTGAATTTGTTAGTGTGGTACTAGAGGTAAAATCTTATCCCTCCAGATTGAGGAAGAAACCATTACCTGAGGTGCAGCAAGTTTAAGAATTTACAATTGAATATATCAGAAAGGCTGAAGCATAAAAGCCGTAGATAACATTAAATCCTGTTCAATTTATATAAAAACGTTAGAGCTATAAGAACGTATTTATTTAACAATAATTCAAAACAAGAAATTTCTAAAAGTTTGAAAATATGACTATTATTTTGTTAAGGCAACTAATAAGGACTATGACCTTTATTTTTAATAGATTGATGTAAAACGTTAACAGGAAATTTAGCAATATTTTGGATAAAGTAGTCAAATTTGCATACAGAAAACTTAATTGATTGCAGTTCCTATTATTAACAAAGCCCGCGTTTGGTATCAAAAATAGAGTATTTTACTACGAGACAATGTTCTAAATTACATTTTGCATAACATAATTCATAATGATAATTTGTTCAAGAAAAAGAATTGTTAAGAGTTACATCAGTCAGCATTATCCTATTTTTAAAAAGATTTTCTATCATTTTATATTATATAAGCTTGTAGTTTTTCGAATCAAAGACGTACATGTACAAAGCACATCCAGTTTTTAATCCAGTTTAATCCCAAGGACGTTTTAATGAAAGGGCTTTTTTTATTTTCTAGATAGCAATGCAATTAATCAATCAGTCTATTTTCTTTCTTTCTTTCTTTCTTTCTTTTCTTTTTTTTTTTTTTTTTTTTTTTTTTTTTTTTTTTTTTTTTTGGAACAATTGATTCATTTCACAAGCACTATATCTTTAAAACTTCTTAAAAGATTGTTCAAGTTCATTTTTTCAGACTTACACCTAAAAAGCAAGAACGCGGCGCATTTTTCGCTACTTGACATGAAGGTCATTTATAGGGGTAATAGTCTTGAGGGTTGTCTGTTATTTAGAATATTTACAGCTAGACATTTCTTCCTGTCCTCTTATCTTTATATTCACTTCGCAACAAATCTTTCAATCAATATTTTTGTATATTGCTTTTGCTTTGTCAATGATTTAATCTAAACGCTTTAAAAAAATCAATAGACCTCTTAGAACTTAATGAAGTATTGTGGATTATCAGTAAGAGGACTAAAAATCAGTTTGATGTAACCAAATACTGAAAAAAAAATATATCACCCCACCCCCCTCCCCAAACAAAAGTAGTGCAAAAAAATCAATTTGTGTAGAAAATCCAGATTATTCATAACAGTTGAAAGTTTAATTTGATGTTATTAGATTCTGCTAAATCATATACGGCATTTGCATGTAAGACTTTCATAAGTATTCTCTTGAAAGGGAACAAAATCTTGTGTGAAAATTAATTTTTTGACATATAATCATCAAAAATAACGCTAGCCTTATTTATACATACATGTACTTTAATACTACAAATTCAGCAAAATGATAAAAGAACGTGAGGAAAAAATATCAATAAACAAAATGTATATCCATTAATTTTATATAAAGCATCGCATCAGTGGGTAGATATCCATTATATATCACTCAATATTAAAATTCTTATGTTTGTCCACCATTCACAAATAACTTTTAAATTTGAAGCCCATAATTTTCAAGCACAATTGCCCAATTCTATGATTTATAGAAATATTAATTATTGCAAAAATGGCAAAAAAAAAAAAAAAAAAAAAAAAAAAAAAAAAAAAATTCGCAACATTTATTTTAATATACACTTCCAGAAACGCATGCCTCTTTCTTTTTTATACCTTCGTTTGGACATTTGTATTAGGTTGGTGATATGTAATGTATGCATAGAAAATGACTATAAATGTATTTACCTTTTAGAAAGCAGAGGATACATCCGAAAACAAACATTTTTACACAAAATTCCCGTATTACTCCAAAGTTGTACACCATTCAGATGGTACTGTAAACAAGGGGACACCACGTGACTTTTACCGGGGTTTATCTCAGTTCTTTTATGCAGTAATATAAGGAATTCTAGATTGTGTAAATTATATGTAAAATTGTTGATACCAAAACAAACAGCTGCTAAAGAATTATCGCCTTGTTCAGTTTACAAAAGTTTATAACATTTTTGTCCACCACATATTATTGGCATATGACAAATTTTATGATCGATTACCCGGTGTGTGTGTGTGTGTGAGTGTATGTGTGTGTGTGTGTGTGTGTGAGGGTTTTGTGTGTGTGGAAAAGGGACGCTTGCGGTTTGAACATGCACATTTGAAATTCTGTGCCCTCTAGAATTACCTGATAGTTACGTAATGACCGTGTATCCAGGACACCCGAAAAAACTTTCATATATTCATTATCTTACTGCGCGGAATACAGTTGGCAGGGTTTAAATAGATCTAGAAGAACTTAAATACGAAAGATTACGAGTTGTAATACCATGCAGTAGGTAGCTGGATTATTTACAGATCTTCTTCTCAAGAACTACTGGGTCAGAAAAGTCCAACTTATGTGAAAGCTTCCTGGCCTAAACATGATAAAGGCCAACATAAAATTCTGAGTAAATTAATGGCATCGTGATCTGGTGATGTAAGATACACGGAGGCGCGGACAAGTCCTATTTCCTGGTCGCTTCACCTTGAGAAATATTGAGGAATATTGACCTTGTACATGTATTTCCTTAGATTTTTACGATGTTTCGTGATCCTCAGTCTCAGATTCCATTCCAGAAAAATTTTAACATGTGTATACACTCTGAATTCCAAATAAATTTTACCCTCAATGGAAAATTATTTATTTATTAATTTATTAATTAATTTATTTATTTATTTATTTATTTTTACAACAAAAATAACACTTTATTTTTAACAAAATGTTCGATCACTGCACAAAAAATCTTTTGGAGGACGAAGTTATCTCCCTCACATCGGAACTCTTCGTTGTCTAAGAGGTCACAATGGCCGCTGTAGGCCTTGGACGAGTTATTCGTCGATTTCAGCCTATTTCTGTCATTCGAAGATGTATATCCACTACTCCTAAAGTTGGAGGTAAATATTGTTATTTTTCTGTTTTATTTCTCAACGGTTTAATAAAATGTCTGTGCTATTTTTATTTACAGTTCGAGTTTTCTCTATCATGTACGTCCCTAAAAATTCATAACACAGTGAACATACTCTTTTATTTTCTTATTTAAAGGAGATAAACAACGAAAAATAAAATGAGTTTTCTTGTTTTTTTGTTTTTTTGTTTTGTTTTTTTTTTTTTTTTTTTTTTTGTTTTTTGTTTGTTTTTTTTTTTTTTTTCGTTTTCCGTTTTGATTGTGTTACAATTACATGTTGGAGATAAAATTTCCTGTAAGACACTAGACATTAATATTATTTTGATAATTTATATACATGTGATAAAGTAAACCATTCATTTAAAAATATGTTATCTTCATCCTGCAAAAAATTATTTTCAGCTGTTTACTGGGAAAAAGACTTCTTGCCTGGTCCCTACCCTAAAACAGAGGAGGAAAGAAGAGCAGCAGCTAAGAAGTATGGGATGCAGCCCGAGGATTATGAACCATATGACCCAGAACTAGGATGGGGGACTGGGGATTACCCCAATGTTGAACCAATAGGAAAAGATCTCAGATCTGACTTTGATCAATATGATAATTACAGACTGAAGAAGAACTTCAATGAACCGGTAATGATATAGATCAATGCCATTCATTGCTATATAATGTTTAAACATGTTGATGGTGTGACTGTTGGGGAGAGTGCAATTGCCATTTAATTGCTTATAATTTATTGCTGGAAACCTATTCACCTTTAACTTAGGTCAGCCTAATTCTTCAAATTGCACAAGACGTTTGGAAGGTTTTGATGTAATGTCACATGACATTTCTATAAAGTATCTTTAAAATGTAAAAAGTATCTTTAAAATTCAATTTTTTGATGGAGAGTGCTTTAAAATTTATTATTTGTGTGCAATTTCCATTAAAGCAAGGTGAGTATATTATATATCATTGAACTTTATTTGGGATCACGAGAATCTGAGCAAGAGAGAAGTACTTCCGTTATGGTAAAACAGTGTATTTGCAGTGCATTCAGGGATTAATCTAGGGCATATTTATTACCGATATTCATTATTTTTCCCCAAGAGAAAATTTCCCCTGAATATCCCATTTTCCCCTTTTGATGAGTAAGAAATTCCCCTTTCAATAATAAAAAGCTCAATTTTTTTTTTCCTTCATAAAACCCAGAAGTTGTCATAATATTGTAACAGGAAAGGAGAAAATGTATGGCTGGACTGGGAATCGAACCCGGGACCCCTGCATCACTTGTCAGGTGCTCTACTGACTGAGCTACCAAGGCCGATATCTATGGTCCAAACCATTGCATTCCTCCCTCCTGACAATTGTCTTCTCCATCGAAGACACAACCCATTGTTCCAAGTTATTATTAGCCCCTGGCAGGACTTTCACCTGCAAGTCCAGGGGTGGTCAATGGCACCAAATCTGTAACAGGAAAGGAAAAAATGTATGGCTGGACCGAAATCGAACCCGGGACCCCTCTATCACTAGTCAGGTGCTCTACCGATTGAGCTACCCAGGCCAATATCCATAGCCAAAACCATTACGATATCTTGCTGTGCTTGCTATGATTTCTATAACCAGTTAGACTGCTTATTTAAAAAAAATTCAAACTGTTCAATTTCTAAAACAACTTTTCTCATAAAATTCTTAATTAAAACAGATATTGTTAAACTGTAAACAACTTAACCTATAATAATTTCAATGCATCTAAAATTCCCATGCAGCAATTTAATAAGTAATAATATTAAACATATATACTGGCCATTTTATTTTAAGTTTTAATGATTGTAATCTTGTATGCTTTGCCTTTTCTATTGGATTTTGATATAATTTTATCAATGTATATATTCTCCTGTTTTTCAGCTCCCATATGATTTTGACTGGGTGGATAAAGTAGATTATGGCTGTAGTTATCATCCACACACAGAGTAAGAGGAAATAGTTTTTCTGAAGGAAATCAGTCTGTATATGTGTAGAATTAGTTCAAGTTAGAAAGATCAATTCTGCATTGCCCATCACGTAAATTATATTAACATAACTGGGATTAAATGAAAAAATAAAAAATGTCCTTATAATGGATTAGGCATCATTCTCATCAGAAAGAAGTGATCAATTTCAAAAAAAGAAAAAAAAACAGTGTATAAACTTTGTACAGTTATGATACACATTTTAATTAAGCCAGGATAAATATTTTTTAAGATGTTTCCTGACTGAACATTTATTGCTTACCTCTGTATAGGGGACACCTTATTCTAGAAATATGAAATACTGCTTTATTCAGTTTTTAAATTGTTATGTTTATGTGCATAGTCTATTGTTACTCCCTGCTTGACATTCTATTTTTTTTTTTAAACATTTAAATGTCAAGTGAATTTCATTTCTGAAAAATAAGGTGATTTATCATTTATCATTTACCATTGCATTAATTTATATCTTAAAATGAAAATTACCCAGTTCTGAATTAATTGCACATGATTACTTCTGAGAAATGCTTTTGAAAAATAAATTATTTAAAAGATTGTGATTACACGTAAACAAAAAAAAATTATGTATGAGTATGTGGCCATCAAATTTAGCATGCTTCATTCATACCTTGGAAACCCCCTGAGAATATTCAGCAAAAATTTGTATTTGATTTTGTCTCGGTGAAAAGACAGCAATGCAGAGTTGAGGGAATAACTCCAATCAATGCTTTTACAAAAATGTGTATTAAATATAATCTTGCCCATTTTGTCCATTGTCTTGGTTTAATTTCTGAATTAGACTGCAAAAATAAATGAAGCTTTTAGGGTTATCTACTTGTAAATTGAATAGATATTTTGTTAATTGAGAAAACGTGCACATATGTCTTTGTTAAAGTTTTGCACAAGACCTGTATTTTCTGTTTGAGGATGTAAAGCCTAATAATTATGAAGTATATTTGCATCATGTTGAAAGCCCATGTGCTTTGTGGCTTTTAGATGAGATTAGACTGTCAGGAGAGCTCTGAAGTCTTTGTTGACCTGTGCTATCTATAAAGTGTTTTGTTCAAATTGAGAAACTGCTGCACTCACCGTGGCTTATTTGTTGATCATTCCCTTTGGGCAAAAGGTCATGTGTCAGACTCTTAACTAGGTCAGACCCAAGATTTTAAAGTTTGAAGTAACTTTTCGATTGCTAAATGACTTAAGATTTAAAAATCACTGGTCTTCTAGATGAAACCTAAAAAAACAAAAACCCTTTTGCAATTGGCACAATAAAGAGCTTTGCAGCGTCCCCCTGCTGGAGATTCTCAGGTTAGGTTTAAATTCCTTCACTGTTGTTATTGACATTTCAATATGAGTGAAAAATTCTTGCTGCATGTCTAAAATTATAATTTTCATCTGTGTGATTTGATGAATTTTTTAGCTTTAGGTTGAAGATCATTTATAGAAACTATAGTGATATTTTTGATATTTTTTTCTTCCAGGCGTGAAATTGTTATGTTCCTGTTCTCTTTGGTTGGATTTTTTATTCTTGGAGAGTATCTATGTAACAAATATATACCACGACATGTAGAAGCGGTATGTATGATATTTTGGCTGGACTTTTTATTAGCTCACCTGAGCTGAAGGCTCAAGTGAGCTTTTCTGATTGAAATTTGTCCATTGTCTGTCGTCGTCCTTGGCGTTGTTGTTGTCGTTGTCATAAACTTTTCACATTTTCATCTTCTTCTCCAGAACTACTAGGCCAATTTCAACCAAACTTGGCACAGAGTATCCTTGGGTGAAGGGGATTCAAGTTTGTTCAAATGAAGGGCCACGTCCTCCTTCAAGGGGAGATAATTATGAAATAGAGAAAAATTAATGGCATCATTGAAAAATCTTCTCAAGAACCAATGGGCCAGGAAAAATGAAACTCATATGGAATCATTGTCAGGTAGTGTAGATTCAAATTTGTTCAAATCATGACCCCCAGGGGGAGGGTGGGGCCACAATGGACGATCAAAGTTTTACAAAGGAATATATAGGAAAAATCTTCTTCTCAAAAACAGCAAACTTATGGTTGGTCATATTTATATGGAAGCATCCTCAGGTGGTGTAGATTTAAGTTGTTCAAATCATGTCCCCTAGGGGTAGAGTGGGGTCACAATGGACGATCAATTTTTACATAGGAATATATAGGAAAAATCTTTAAAAATCTTCTTCTTGAGAACAGCAAAGCTATGATTGGTCATGTTTATGTGAAAATATACTCAGGTGGTGTAGATTCAAGTTTGTTCGAATCATGCCCCCCCCCCCCCCTTCGGGGGTAGGGTGGGGCCACAACGGATGATGAAAGTTTTACTTAAGAATATATAGGATAAATCTTTAAAAAATTAATCTTCTTCTCAAGAACACCAAAGCCATGGTTGGTCATATTTATATGGAAGCATCCTCAGATAGTGTAGATTCAAGTTTGTTCAAATCAATAATCCCCAGGGGTAGGATGGGGCCACAATGAAAGTTCAAACTTGGAGGGAAGAAAGTCACAGTTGGTGAAAAGAAAAATATAAGCATTTTTAGTGTAGATTCAATTTTGTTCAATTCATACCCCCCCCCCCACCCACCCACTCCCTTTTAGGGGAAGGTCGCAACCACTTATGCATTTAAGATTTTCAATTCTAAACTGATTTTTGCTTTTTAGCTCACTTGAGCTAAAGGCTCAAGTGAGCTTTTCTGATTGAAATTTGTCCCTTGTCTGTCGTCGTTGTTGTAGTCGTCGTTGTCGTAAACTTTTCACATTTTCATCTTCTTCTCAAGAACCACTGGGCCAATTTCAACCAAACTTGCCACAAAGTATCCTTGGGTAAAGGGGAATCAAGTTTGTTCAAATGAAGGGCCATGCCTTCTTCCAAGGGGAGATAATTATGAATTCATGAAAAATTGATGGCATCATAAAAAAAATCTTCTTCTCAAAAACCACTGTGCTTGAAAATATGAAACTTATATGGAAGCATCCTCTGGTAGTGTAGATTCAAGTTTGTTCAAATCATGACCCCCGGGGGTACGGTGGGGCCACAATGGGGGATCAAAGTTTTACATAGGAAAAATCTTCTTCTCAAGAACAGCAAAGCCATGATTGGTCATATTTATATGGAAGCATCCTCAGGTAGTGTAGATTAAAGTTTGTTCAAATCATGACCCCCGGGTGAAGGGTGGGGCCACAATGAGCAATCAAAGTTTTACATAGGAATATATAGGAAAAATCTTTAAAATCTTCTTCTGAAGAACAGCAAAGCCATGATTAGTCACATTTATATCAAATTATATGGAAGCATCCTCAGGTAGTATAGATTCAAGTTTGTTCAAATCATGACCCCCAGGGGTAGGGTGGGGCCACAATGGGTGATCAAAGTTTTACATAGGAATATATAGGGAACATCTTTAAAAATCTTCTTCTCAAGAACAGCAAAGCCATGATTAGTCATATTTAAATGAAAGCATCATCAGGTAATGTAAATTCAAATTTGTACAAATCATGATCCCCTGGAGAATAGAGGGGCCATAACAGGGGATCATACAAAGGAATACAAAGGATATATCAATCAAAATTTTCTTCTTAAGAACAGCAAAGCCATTATTTGTCATATTAATTCAATAGCATCCCTATAAAGTTTAGATTCAAGTACGTTAAATACCCCCCCCCCCCCCCCCAAACCAGTTTTATATTCAAACTTTTCAAGACTGAACTGATTTCTGCTTTTTTCCTAGCCAGAGTGCTCAGGTGAGCGATGTGGCCCTTGGGCCTCTTGTTTTTCCTAGCCACAGTGCTCAGGTGAGTGATGTGGCCCCTGGGCCTCTTTTTTCTTAGAGAGTATCTATGTAACAAATATATACCATGACAAGTAGAAGCAGTATGTATGATATTTAAGATTAGGTATTCTTTATGTATTATTCTACAATGTAAAAAAGTTGTGGTACAAACTTTTTAGCTTAGCTTGAACAAGTTGAGATTACCTTATAATTTACCTCTGCCATTCACATTGGTGTAAGTATCCGAGTTAGAGATCTTTCCTGAAGTAGCTAATATATAAGTCCTACCTGGTTCAAAATTCAAGTCCCAGGTGCTGTATTGGACATTTCCTGAATGACTGGTCAGGATTTAATTTCCTGAGCGACTGGTCAGGATCTAATTTCTGGAGAAAGTTCTTTTCCAAGTAATTGATGTATCAAGGAATGTTATTACTTCTTTTCATCATTCATACTGATGCTGCATTTGATTGTTTTTTACTCTAAATGAGTGTTCAAATTTGAAACAGGTCCACCCAAAATAACTATAAGCCTTATCTTATCACTACTGCAGTGTTTCTTCAAATGCTATATGCTATATTTTCCATATATGAAATGCTGCAATGATGAAGTTAGCTTTCACTTCTTACTAGTTACTAATGAGTCATTCGACAAAAGACCTACATGTAATTGTTTTAAGTATAATCTACATTCACTGAGGTTAGGCTCATAATCTTTTTACAACTTATTGTTAATTATAAATTACTTTGATTTCTTTCTGTTTAACTCCTTTTTATTTTTTTTTCTGGTGATTATATAAGTATATGTTAGTTATATTCTCATTTCCTGTAAGGAAGTAGTGCATAAGATCCTTCCTTGAATATTAATATAAAAACTTTATTTTGAAAGAAAATCTTGTTTATATAATATACTTTAATATCAGGTAAACAAAACTTCCTTTCTAAGAATTCTTATTAGATAAACAGAACTTCTTTCTAGGAATGTGCGATATTTACATTTATTTCCTACACAGCTTGTAATACGAGATTTGATTGGTTAACAAGCTGTGTGTAAATTTTGTACATTTCTGGCATGATGCTAGATTTAATAATTTCTTAAGTACATATACATGTATATCCACCCTCTTAGCACTATGCCAATAACCACCATTTGGTAAATTATTCCACGTCAGATGCAACAGTCAAGCAAAACTGAGAATGATTAGAATGGTAAAGTAATGTATTTCTGTTGTGGATACATAGAAAGCAATTATTATAATGGATGGCTCAAGAGCAGAAAACAGAGGTTTTATTTCAACTATAGATGAAAGATTTGTATAAGTGCAAATATTTCTTGATGTAAAGAATGCACCATACTTTTATAAATTATATTTAGCCATAAGCATCATGCACTTGTGCACACTTGTACAGACATTTTGCTCACATGTTTGAATTTGAGATATTGTTGTCTTTTGTAGCTGCCCAAACAATATCCCTATACCTACACTCAGTTTGTTTCATACAGAGATCCGTCAGAGATTCAGAGAACAGTCCATTACACGTTTGAACCAGCTGATAGTAAGGAGTGATTAAATGTGCTGAAAACACAGACACTAGTATGGCTTAATGTGGATGTTTTAACATGTGTAAAAGTTATGTGTTATATAATAAAAATAAATAAATTAAGGGAAGCTGAATATTTCTTGAATTTCATTATATTTATTAAATCACATTGAAAAGGGAAAAAAAAGTTTAGAGAAAGAAAAGAGTGCTAATATTATCTCTTTTGAAGTCAACACTATCTGGCTATTTTACTGGAAGTGTCTTTCTGACATTTTGTATTTATCAATAAAAATCTTCATTATAACTACTTTCATAATGCATATTTTTATTGATAAATAGACAATATGGCAGAAAGACAGAAATACTAGTCAGTCTTACATTTGTTTTGTGGAGATCAGTATCTATAATTGCATGTAGATATGAACGTATTTTCCACGTCAATCATCAATCGGATGTACATTTCACAATGGATTTAAATTCAGTAATGTCTGCATTTGAATTTCCTTGAATTTTAATGGTAAAATGAACTTTGACGAGAACAGTAACTCATCTATTATTTCAAGTAAGTTAGTAATTAAAGAATCTTAAATTAGTCTTGAGTACTAGTATATGAATTAACTTCCTTGCACAACAGTCATATGCGTTATATTGCAATGGTGAACGTTTTCACCTTATATACGTCGGAAGAGCTGTCGGAGATTAAAAATGCGGTGCGATGAATGGGAGACCTTTCTGGTTGTATGACGTTAGGACATGCACGGTTTACTATTGGATATTTTCAAGAGTAAGACTTGGCAATAGGGTTAGTTGGCCAGGAAACAGTTTGGAACATAAGTCCTGAATAAGATAGTTTCTGGATTTTTGCGTACCAACTAGCTATGGAAAGCACAATCTTGACTGGCATACTGTTGAGGTGGGAATTACTGAAATGGGGGAAGTTGCATGGTAAAAGTGCAGAGTTGAACGGGTACAGCGACAGAACAGCAATGATGTGCGATTCCCGTCGACTACAGATAATATGAGAAGAAACCTGTATTTAGATGATCGCCATAAAATTAAATTTATACATTTGTAAATGTATCAATGAATAATATTTACGTTGTATGATCAGATCCATTTTATCGAATAGGAATTATATGTTTTAGAATAAGGAAACAAAATCTTTGAATAGGAATAACAAAATCGTATAATAATGCAACGTTTTACACGCCATATACCACTTATATGATATGAATCATATGACTTGGGATCGAAATAACATATACTTGTGCATAAGGATACTGATATAAAAGAATTATTGCAGCGATGCGTGTTATAATACCACCCCTAGCCCCCACCCATCCCCGCACAAACAAAAATGGAAATATTCTAAGGTGATTATAAATGAAGCGACAATATTGAATAGTGGCAGTTCAAAAATGTCAACTGAAAATAAACTCACGAATGCTGCCAAGGTAATGCGATATCCTGACAATGAGGTCTGCTTGATGGGAGCCATGCTTAGGTGACTGAAAAACTGCTTTCCCCATGTGGCATGCATGCATAAAAATTTGATGACTTCAAATGTAATGATTATGTTGCTTTATATAAACATACCGCTTTTTAAAATTTAGAATTTATTACATTCTGAAACAAATTGTACTATATTAGAAATTTTAATACTTTTTGATGTCAAACATAGAGGAAAGACAATATAAAATTGAACAAAAAAAAAAATAAACAAACAAACAAACAAAATAGAGATTTGAGCAATTCTAATTCAACAATAAAACAATGATATACGACATGTAAAGAATATGTTGAGTTTCAGAGCGTGCAAGAGGCCTGTAGAGCTTTTAGTGTCAATATCTTGATCTATCATTCAAGACTCAAAAACCAACTTGGTTGCATTGCATTACATGGAACGTGAAGATAATGAACAAACCCTCCGTATCGGTAAGTCTGACAGTATCAATTACTGGATTTATTGTTGCAAATATTTCCGCTGCAATCAAATTTTTATAATAAATATGTGTTATTGTCATTAATTCTTTAACTGTCTTTTTTTCCTTGCTCTTTCTCATCTCTGTTTCTCAATTAATAGATCATAAGATAATAAGCTTGCTCTTCGCTAAGTCATAAAAAAATATTGATATTAATTTGTTTAAATTCAGAGTCTAAGTATCTGGTCTAATTTGGAAGCACTTTGTTTCATTATCTTGAAATTATCACCGGATATAGCCAGAAGAAACTTATCACTCCAAAAAGGAGATGGGTGAACAAGGCGTGCAGAATGCCCATAATTTCAAACATATAAAAATTGATTGTTGAAATTTATGAAATTATGATAAACAAATCTTTTCTGAGGAAAATTTTGTCGGCAAAAATTATTCTGTTATTAGAAAAATTATGTGGTATTTGTGGGGTTCGAAAGCTAGCAATTAAAATCCTGAGTATCATTATCCTTCGAGACTAACACACTAACCACTACGCTACACAGCTCCTGGTGAATAGTGGCATTTAAATCATGTTTGCTATAATACCCTTGACTAAATGGACTAAAGTATTTCCCAGAAAGATGCGAATGTTGTACTGTCATAAAAGTGTATTTTTAAGGTATAGTGGGTCTTTGCTCAAAGTTTTTGTTAAACAAAACATGTATATTTTTACACAAACTTTGAGGATAAACTTTCAAAAAGAAAAATGGAGCGAAGACCCACTCATATCGAAAAATTGTGTTTTAGTATGAGAAAATGATCCTTTTTGTCCTCTTTAGTGTGTGTAAGAGGGATGATCAAAAAGTTCGTGAACTAATTGAATAACTTCCAGAAAAGAAATAAAATTAGATTTCAGTGTTTATTATTTTTTAAAGTAGCCTTCTCCGATCTTAATACACATCGACCACCGTTCTGCCCATGCGCGAATCACGTGATCCTGGCTGTCACGTGACATGCTCCGTAGCGTTCTGTTCACAGAAACTAAACAACGATTTTTCCGATTCTTGTATTTCTTATGCTGCGAGTTATTTTTTAAAACAAGAATAGTCCATTTGTCACAAATGGTCAAATATCGGCAACAGGATGGGTGAATAAGGATATCTTTTTTTCTAAAATGAGCATGGTGACCATCACAACCCGACTTCTCCGTCTTTGGTGCGTCGTTTTTCCATAGTGGATAAAGTATGGGCGCCTTCTTTTTATCATATCTGAGATGTGTAGAGTCTGAAGTAAACGGTATTTTAGGGATTTAATAGTTATGATATTCTTGAGATATTTAACTGTATTACTAACTGTAACTTGGCAATCTTTCTTAACAAATTGCTCAACAGAGACACATCTCTTCCCCAGCTTACTTTCAATGGGCACCAGAACAAACATCATTTTTAACCATCTCCCTTCCTTCACTACATCAATCAATCTATAATGATTGAACATCTGGCAAGTCTTTTGTTTTCATAAACCTTGAACAAATTTTTATATGCTACTGCAAAGGAATTTCAAAGACATACATTAAACTTTACAGCCGTTCGTTGCTTGAGTATAACTGAGTCAACCATTTTTTGTCACAAGTCATCTACAAATTGACGACATTTTCACATTGTGACGTCACAAACATGGAGCAAAACATTACCTAACATCTGCTAGTTATAGAACATGTTCATGACTATATATGTGCCAAATTTCATTCTGATCTGAATAGTAGTTTTGTAAATATAGAGATAGTTCTCGAACTTTTTGATCACCCCTCGTATGCTATTTCGTAGGCAAACGATTTCAATCTTTGTGATATTTTTGCAAATTCACGAGATTTTACATAAAGTATACTTCAATATTAGATGAAATATCAAAGAAAATTTTGTTATAATTGAGATTTTTTTTCACGTTGACGTTTGTCGCACTATAGGCATTTCGCTCGCCTTGTTCGCCCATCTTCTTTACTCATCACCAGGGACAATCAGGTTATGACATCCACTTGTCCTCGGTCTACTTATATGTATGTTCTATGTAAAACTATCAGTTCACTACTTTGTAAATGAACACAGATATCTGTATACTTCTGAGTACTCAAATGTTTGCTCGTTCCTTGAGTTAAAATGCACACAAATAATGTTTTAAAATCATTGAGCGATGACCAGGAGAAAGCAAATTTATAGAAAAACGCGTGTAAAAATGTACATTCTGTACCAAAGGACTCATCTAGCCATTTTTCAAGGCATATGTTAGCAAATCAAAACATAATATCGGGAACTTTCACTTTCCAAGTGCGCCCAAATTCCTGCCGGATCCAATTCAAAAGCATTCTCGTTCTTTGGTTTAAAAAAATGACATCTTCAACTTGTGATAAATATAGCACTACTGAATGCAAAGTCTTATAGCAATGCTAATTATTTTGATAAATTTATATCATTAAGGGTTCCTATGTAAGGCACTGAAATGTTACTTGTAGTTTGCATCGCTTCAGCAACCTTCCATTGTTAAACTTATAATCATAAATAAAGTCGTTTCGGCCAACTTTATTATTAATGACGAGAGAAAGTTCTTTTCAGTTTGATTTTGTTTTAATCTGGGTAAATGTAAAACGAAATAATCATGTTTAAGAAATATCGTATTTTAAAAGCCCCATTTAGAAATTATCATTTATTTAACATGCAGTGCTCATAAAATTTACAGTTATTAGTTACTTGTTAAGTATAAGGTCATCAAACTGAGAAAAAAATATTACTTAAAATCACTTTAGATCCACTAGTACTTTTTCTGTCAGATTATCTATTTATTAGTACATGTGGTTATATGTATGATAATTTTGTTATTTCCTTTCCAGTGAATGATATCATGATGTATCCTTCCTGGAACATATTATAAACAGAGTGTCTGAAGTGGACGACGTTACTTCCTTCACCATTCAGATCTGTTGTTATTCGTGTTTTTGAAAAAAAGCTACATGGCATATTAAAATCATTTCTTTATTCTACAGCACAAGGTTTACAATATAAATATCTGCATATTAACATGAAATATAATTTAAGACAATTTAATATTTGAAATGTTTATTGATGTGGATTTGTGGAAATAAAGAATTTACCCATTAGAGGGATCATGAAGGTTCTGATCGATATCATTAAGTCTTTTTAAAACAACTATTTGTCAGTTTTCTATGACTTTTTTATACCTCAAAGTTGTACACGTAGATCAAATATATTACTTTAAAGATTTTTCATATGTTTAAAATATTTGCGGCTGGGGGGGGGGGGGTCATCAACTATATAATTGTTCAATCAATTACTCTGCTATGCTTAATATGCTTTCCTTACTATCTACCCTACTAAGAAGGCTTGAGTGTAAGCAAGAGACACTCCTGTAAAGGTTTTCTAATAAATATCATTATGAAAAAAAGTTTGATGAAATATTTTCTGAATTGACGGCTCGTTCCCCAAACAAATTTTATTTTAAAATTCTGGTGTTGAAATGATATGTATCTTGTCTGATTCGGTCTTCAATGAAGTTATACGGTACATCACCCTTGTAGAATTAAAGAGAGTTGTGCCCTTGTCTGTTGTTTGAAGAAATTGTGAATATATAACAAGTCATCTCTAGATTAATAACATGTTAATCAAGAATAGAAATGGAATTTAAGTATTACAAGAAAATTATCCTTCATTTTAATTTTTGTTTTTTATTCACCCATGCAGCAACGATATTTCTTTAAAAGTCTCACCGCATCAAAAACAAATATATGTACATGCCGTAATTTCTTTGCTTGTTAAAATAATCATTTATCCCAGAGTTTCTGCAATGGCTTGTTTTATGATTTACTACTATTAATCTCGAGGGATTTTTTTAAAAGAAGTGTTATGCATTCAATCTACTTAGAAACTTAAAAAAAGAAATAGTAATATAAAATCTTAAAATAATACTTCCTTGTTCATTAAGAGTGTATATTGTGTCAACCATGAATCGAATGTTGATCATTTCTCTAATCTACATGCTACTACTGGTGGATGTCCATGGACAATTTTGGAACTGTAAGCTCCAAAATCAATGATAAAATAGGGCATTTCTTCAAAAAGCAAGTATCTATTCATCAGTAATTATTATTGATTCAGATACCATTAATCAATTTCTATCCATTTCAGATGAAGTGCAATTTAGTGATTATCGAAAAGTTTATTATCCTAAGGATACAATAGAATGCACTGGTATTTATCAACTACCACCATGGTACCGGTATTATAAATTCGAAGTATATATAGAAGATAATGTTCATATTGTTATCCAACAATTCCTTGCCAACGGAACACGCGTGGAACTATCGTCATGCTTACAAGATTCTGATACCAATCATTGTTTCGGCCAACTCGTCTATGAAGGATGCGGAGAAGTGAATATAACATGTTCGGCTGTAAGAAATAAGACGGAGATTAAAAATATAACGAGAGAAATCTTCATTACCGGTAAGAAGATACTAGTATCTTATTTTGAATTCATTTCGAACTATGATGTTTAAAAATTATCTGTACAAAATGTTCAATATAAAAGTAATTCTCTCTCTCTCTCTCTCTCTCTCTCTCTCTCTCTCTCTCAAATGAAACTTTATTTTGCTTTAATGTAGACAAACCATCAATCAAAGCTTTCCATATTCACGATAAAGAAGTGAGTAGTGACAATTACACACAAATTTTCTCATCGGGAAGTTTAATAGAGTTAATCTGCCTTGGAGATGTTTCAATTGTAAACAGGAAAGTTTTTGAGGTAAGCAATGCAAATATGTTAATTATAGATATGCTATCTTCATTATCAATAACAAAATATATTTCTACATGTTAATGTCATCTACATCTATCATGAAGGGGTAATGTTCAGAATAAGAAAGGGTAAAAGGAATCACGTTAACATAATATAATTTACTCTTTTCTGCTCGGCAAGGATGTAATGCTTCTCTCGTAAAAAAATTAAATATTTTTTAAATTGTATTTTAGCGTTTCCACCAGAAAGTTTAACACTTCGAAGCCTGGCAATTTTCCTTACTTAATATGAAAAGTACCAAATTCCTTTTTTATAAAGAAATATCTTTGCAGATTTATAATTGGTGAAAAAATCATTTATATATTTAGGATATGCAGAAAGTCAATGTCCGATATATCTTAAAGCTTAAAGCTTTTCTTAAGTATAAAATTGTATCTCCTACCAATTTCCAAAGTTATTGTATAATGAAATAATACTCTACACATAATATGATCCTTATTTTACATTTTATATCTCTAGAAATCTTAACCATTCTTTATTTTAAATAGTATACGAGAATGCATCATTTACTTGAAAGTATCTACATACATGGCAGTTTTTGGATCGAAATTATTATAAGCACTGATGTTGAAAGGATTGCTAAAGTATGTTTCTAAGAGCTTTTTTGTTGTGGCTGTAGAATTTATCGTTTAGCTGGGGGAATGGTTTGCTGAAAATGCAAGATCCACCTACAGTAAGAACAATCAGTAATTTGAATGATAAATGTAAAACCGACCAAACAGTATCTGCCTTCCTGTATTTGAAAGGGGAACAGATGGACACAGAAATAAATTGTGAAACTAGTGATTTGAGAACATCTTCTTGGGAAAGAAGGACATTCCGGAAATCTATAAATCTAAAAACAATACCAGGTAACGGAATATTTATAATGCCAGATTTTTGAAGACTGTCTATTTACAATGAGCATGTTTCAGGAGAATTTCCGCCACTCTTTTTTCATACAGACTAAGTAAGGTTACGTTTGTGTGTGTGTTAAGTATGTGTTTTATAAAATAATAAACTCTACTGTTTATTAGCTCACCTGAGCTCAAAGCTCAAGTAATTTTTCTGATCACAATTTGTCCGGCATCCGTCTGTCTGTCCGACTGTAAACTTTTCACACTTTCGACCTCTTGTCCAGAACCATGTAGCCAACTTCAATCAAACTTGCCACAAAGCATCCTTTGGTGTAGGTGATTTAAATTTGATTGAGGGCGTTCAAGGCGAGTATAATGCTTTGCTTTAAGACAATATTTTTCTTAAGTTTGCAAAATTTTCAAAGTTCATAGAAAAGTTCTATTTTTCTAAATACTATGTTGTAAGTAATTTCATCTTTAACAGATTTGATTCATTTTTTTTAATCTATTGAATAACTTACTGAATGATAATTTGTTTTTAAGTTGACAATTAAGGTGGTGATGGATGCCAGACGAAACGTCTCCTATATAATTATTTACCCCATTTAGTAGGATTTGAAATACCCCCACCTTTCAGATGTTTAATTGCAATTTAAATAATTTTTTTTTATTATTTTAATGAAAATACAATTTATTTATTTTTTTTTTTATATAATTCTTTTTTTTAAAAGAAGATTAATATTATCGACAAGAGTTAATTAAAATAGTGTTGATTTGAAAACAATATTGACAAGACCAGAGTCGCATTATTTTTTTGTAATTTCTAACAAAAATAAGCAAAGAAAACTAGGGAAACCTTTATTTCCTGAAAACAGACGGATAACATTCCATGGTAAAACATAAATTTAAAAATTCTACCGCCTCAGATCACCTGAAATTTGGCGCAGAACTACAGCAATTCAAGCCAAAAAAGATTTCTGAATCTCACGAAAATCTGTAGTCTACAAGTCGTGCTTTGACACCGCAAGTAAGCCCTGCATATTTCACTTTCCCTTTGAGAAGCAGATAAGCAAAGACCTCTTTACACCCATTTCAACTAGGCACTTGAAAGCAAAATTTACCATTTTTCAAAAAGAGATTGTTAAGAATTAGTGAAAATTCAAAAATCTTCTCAAAAGGAAGTAGACAGAAAAAAATAAAGCTTATGTGAAAGCTTCATTACACAGTTTGTTTAAATTGATCATGACACAAAAGGGTAGGTTGGGGCCACAATAGGTAATCAAAGTTTTACACTTAAATATATAGGAAATAATCTTTAAAATTCTTCTCAAGAATAGCAAAACTATGATAAATATATGGAAGCATCCTTAAGTAGTGTAGATTCCAATTTGCGCAAATCATGATCCCTGGTGAAAGGGTGGGGCCACAATATCCTATTAGGAGATCAAAGTATAATCTTTAAAAATCTCCTAAAGAACAGCAGGCCTGATTATTCATATTAAATATGCAAACTTCTTAGGTATTGTAGATTCAAGTTTTTAAAACATGGTCACTAGGGGTAGGGTGAGGCCACAATAAGATTTTTTTTATATCATATTGTATAGGAAAAATCTTTGAAAATCTTCTGCAGAACAGCAGGGTAATGATTAGTCATATTAATATACAAGTACAAAATGTAGTCTAAGATAATATAGATTCAAATTTGATCTGGGGGTAGGGTGGGACCACGATAGGAGATTTTAGTTTTACATAAAAATATATAGAAAAAAAAATCTTTAAAAATCTTCCTCTATTACATGGAAAAGCCATTATTAGTCATATTAATATGCAAGCATCCTGATATACTTTGGATTTAAGTATGTTCATACCAGGACCTGTAAGATTTGTATTAGGTTGATGCTACAAAAGGAGATTAGTTTTACAAGCGAATATGTAGAAAGAGATCTTTTCAAGAGCGCATAGTTAGACCACACTGAATCATATTAATATGAAAATCATTAATTCTAAATTGTCTGGTTTAAGATTGTTTTTAATTATGAACATTTAGGTTAGGTTTGGGCCAATATTAAAGATCTAAACTTTGGATAATGCATATGTACAAGAAACAAAAGCTTCTCCAGAACAGCAAGGTCATGCTATTCAAATTGATATGAAGCATCCCAGTGTTGTGTTGATTTTACTTTGACTAAATTATAGCCCCATTAGGACCAGAGTTTTGCCCACAATATGCAATATGGAGTAATTTTTCTTTATATTAAAAAAGGAATATTCTTATTTTTAAAAATCTGCTAATGATGAACAGCAGGGCTAAAGTGACTCAGGTGAGCGTTGTGGCTTATGGGCCTCGTGTTTTTCTTTCATTCCGCAAGAGAAAAACCAAATCCTAGGTCCTGTGATCGTCTTAACAGATGAGTTAGAGGATAGATCACTCCTGTCTTTGACATGCAAGACAACAACTGATCTCCATGACTCAACAGAGGTAAATTTGACATCACTGAAAGGATCAACTCAGATATCAAATGAAAAGACCTGTAGAGCCGAGATTGGCTTTTAGTCTGTACAAAAGGGACTAAAGATTTCATGAATGTAGTAATTCAGTGTTCATTCATCGTTTTAGTTTAATATTATGATGGTATAACATCTCGCAATACAAGACTAAGGAACAATAATGTTCTATTACCGTTTTATTTCATTTTTAGCACACCTGACTGAAACACCCCTGTATTAGAATGGGGCCACTGTAGAGGATGAAAATTATACATTGAAATTTATAAGAAAAATCTCTAACAATTTTCTCAAGAACTAAGGAAATGTGGATTCTAAATTGTTAAAATCATGACCCCCGGTGGTAGGTGGTACCACATTCAGGGATGAAAGTTTTACATCAAGATTTATAAGAAAAAAATTTAAAAGTCTTCTTCTCAAGACCCCTTTGACTAGAAAAGATGAAACTTACTATGGTATGTGAAAGCTTACAGACATAGTGTAGATTGTAATTTATTCAAATCATGGACCCTGGGGTAGAGTGGGCCACGTTGAAATATATATCAAAACTATTCAAAAATCTAGAAAAGATGAAACTTATGTGTGAGCTTCTAAAAATAATGTAGATACTAAATGTTTTAAATCATAGATCCTGGGGGTTTGGATGGAGCCACAATACGGGATCAAATTTTTACATTGAAATTATAAGAACGATCTTTAAAAACTTCTCAAGAACCAGTGGACCAGAAAGGATGAAACTTATGCGAATGATTCCTGAGGTAGCATAGATTCTTCTAAACTGTTCAACTTATGGCCCCCGAGAGTAGTGTGGTGCTCCAATAGGAAATCAAAGTTTTGAATTTAACTATATGAGAATTTTTTAAAACAATTTAAGTAACACAATTAAGAACCATTAATTTGCAATTATTTTTTGTTTGCAACAGAATGTTTCATGTTGTGTAAAACATTTTTTGAATTTCATTTTTGTTTTTAAATTATGGACCCTGGGTTAGAGTTGGCGAAAATCAGGATCAAATTTTACATAATGCATGTATACATACTTCTTCTCCACAACTGCAAGGCCATGTTAGTCTTTGATACTGAAGAACCCTTATGGTGTGTGATTTCAAAAAAACCCTAGAGTTAGGCTGGGGCAATAATATGGGGTCACGATTTTTCAATGGAATATAAAAATCTTTTTTAAAACTTCTGAAGAACAACAGGGCTTAAGTAACGTTTTGGCCCATGGCCTCTTGTTCATTAGGTAATACTATGTTCTTGTCAATTAACCATAATACTTGACTTTATTGACAAAAATAAATATTTAGTAATCTAACTATCGACATTATCATTTGCTGCAGGACATTCAATGGTGCACCAGAAAAGAAAATAACACACAGTATGGACCTCTTCCTCTCCAGGAAGTCCCAGATATTGAAATATTTAATAGAACATTTGAAAAGACGATCAAAAGTAGCGTTCTGTATCAGTTAATGAAAAGCGATGAAAATGTGGAAATTATCTGTGAAGCTAACCACTCCGACACATGCGGATCTGGAAAATTAAGGGGCACAGTTCTTTTTAATTCAAAACCAATCAAAACGCCAAATCAAAGTAAGTATTTTGTTGAACAGTTTTAAATGACTAAAATTAATCAGTTTTTATTTTTCAAATATTGTAATTTAATATATATAGGGATCAAATTTACGTTTGTTTCTATAGTTTCTATATTTCAATGTTGGAAAACAATAAAATATATCAAGTATCTGCTCATTTTCCAATCTAGAGAAGTACATATATTCTAAGAATGTTTGGAATAACTAATTCATTTTTTTGGTGGCTGGTATATACATGTTTTACAGATTATACAGATAGTACTTCGGAGCAATCGGATCTGTCAAATAGTGCATGTGTTACTTCTGATGAACGAAACAGACTGATCTATGCCTCAGCTGGTGTGATGACTGCTAGCATCATAATTCTCATAACAGGAGTCGTTGCGTTTTACAAAGCGAAGAAAAGAGGTAGATGTCCAACATCAAAATTTGTTTTGTATTTTATTAAAAGGATTTCGTTATCTGAGTAATATATATTATAATAACGTAATCTTTAAAAAAAAAAAAATGTTTTTTTGCCCTCTTCCGACCGACTGGCTAAAAATGGTTCGACTCAAATATTTTTAAACATAGAGGAATCGAGTATTTATTTTTTATTATTTATTCCGGTATTTAATCATCCTGTCAACAACTATTTTTATCTTATTAAAAACCTTTAATTTTAATAGACTTTGAAAAAGAATTTTCACCAAAAATTCCGACCCAAGGTTTCTATCCGGAGTTGGGAGAGGGGTAAACAAAAATTATTTTAAAGATTGCTTAATGTGTCCAATTCGTCAAATGCTAGGATAGGTATACAGTTTAACAATTAGAAAAAAAATCTGTCATTTCTTCTGCTCATATTATTTTCTTTTCTGAAATCAATTTATTTGAAGAAAAAAAAACCTTTTAAAAATAATATACTCGTACTTAGAGAGGATTGTCAGCTGAATATTTCACTAAAATTTCACTAGGCCTTTATATTTGTAGATAGTAAGGGCGGTCTTAGAGAACCGGTGTAAAAACGAATAATGACCCCCATAGAATAATGACCGGGGGTCATTTTTAGCGGTCAAATAATGACCCCCGGTCACTATTCAACGGCGAAAAATGACCCCCGGTTATTATTCGACGTCGAAAAATGACCCTTTTGCCCGTAGAAAAAGTGTCATCAACCCTTAAATCTGCATACCCTACGTGAAGAAAAATGACCCCCTTAGAATAATGACCCCTTGTAGATTAAAGTTGAAATTTTTAGGTGGCAAAAAAATAATAAATCAAGAGACCTGTTGGCCAAAATGCTCACCTGAGCTAAATTGGGAATAAATCGATGATATGTTGATCTCATTACATTATAAAAGTATTGCTGTTTTTAAGGTCAATTCGATGATTAAGAATCTAGAGGAGTAAAGGATTGATCGAGCCCAAAGGGTGAGGTGAACATTGTTTTTCGATGGTAGAAAATCATCGTACTGACAGGAAAAAACAGCAATAATTGTTTTATTATACAGTTCAACGATTAAATTAATACAAACTTGTTAAGTAGACATGTTTCTTGTTTACATTTGCTCAAGTCCTAGCCAAACACAGTGAGAGAATCGGAATTAACATAAGCATAACCAGTATTAATTTTGCATTTGAAATCTATTTTGGTGCAATGTAAAAAAAATAAATGTCAGGCATAGTATTGAAAAGTGAAATGGGGCATTATAAAAGACAAAAATGACAAGTAACCTCAGAAATATCTTTGTTGAACCTCTCAAAAAATTTATTGATGTGTTACGGTGTAAAATACGACTTTTCGGACTTATTATAAATTACTGTGAAAATTGACCTTTAGGACTTTGTGTAAATTGTTATAAAAACTTTTCGTATATTAAGGAACATAATCAGTATGCAATGCAAATTCAGACAGAAGCTGAGAAAACAACCAAACAGTTAAGGGAAGAAAACAACGCCCTGCTACAGACCATCCGAATATTGGAAGATGAAAGGGATCATCTGCTCGCCGTGTTTGTGGAAAACAAACGACAATTTCAACCATGTAGACATCAGGGAATACCAAGAAGAGGCAAGTTTTATTGAAAAAAAAATCAAAACATGAGGACGTGTTTTACGCGAAGGCGGAGCATGTGTTACGGTGTAAAATACGACTTTTCGGACTTATTATAAATTACTGTGAAAATTAACCTTTAGGACTTTGTGTAAATTGTTATAAAAACTTTTCGTATATTTCGGCAAATGTAACAAATTCTATAAATCTACAAATCCTTAATCCTACCCGATGCACAGTCAAAGATGGACACTTAATCCCTTAATTGACTTCTGTTTATATTTATTGACACTTAATCTTTCATCTACTTTAATTCTATTATATACATGCCGCTAAAATGTCACCAGTCGCTCAATAACTGTTTGATAATTAATTTCTTTATACATTTTGTTAATCCTTTTATTTTGTCCTATCTTTGTTCAGTATGTATGTTTTGTTGTTAAAATTTATAGTCAGTTGGAATCAGACCTTCGGTGCTGATAGTTCCCAAACTCATGTAAAAGTTTATTCCATGCTGATTCTATATAAAAGTATTAAAACTATAACGCGTGTTGGTTTAATGGAGGTTTTATGAATCTGGGTTCAACAATAAGAGGAAAACTCACGGTTGGCCCAGAATCAGAATTTGACGGACAATGCATCCCGTAAAAGATGTAAGGGGTATTTCTCTTTACTCTACTGTATCAAAACGTTGGGGTAGGGCAACCAGACCTGTAATGAACATTTTGAAGCGAAAAAATAAAAATTTACGTTCATAACACCCCACCCCACCATTAATTCTGTGCGCCCGAACGTTATGTTCACCTTGTCCACTCAAGAAAGAGAGATTTTTTAACTATACTGTATAAAAAAGAGGAGGTGGTTACAAGACATTCAATGAACATTTTTTTCCCTACACTTAAAAAAAAAATTGATCGTACTCAAAGTATGTTGAGTACTTTGGGAGACATGTTTACCATTGAAAAGCCAGAACATCCCCTTGTCTGTTATTTAGCTATGAATGTCTATAATCAGTCAAATATCCAAATATGAAACAAATGGAAGACAGTCATAAAGGGAGATTACGTTAAGAGTTATATAACCAATAGTAGCCATTTTGCGATTTTCAATATGTGCTGAGAACACAATAGGCTTAAAAGATAGAAATATGCATGTAAATGTAATGTTGTTTTATTGCATTTTAATTGCGTGTTCGTCCAGTGTTGGTCAAAAGGGGCATAAAGAAGAATTAAACATTGAGATTCAAACCTTGGCATCAATGACGTGTTAAAAATTTTGTTTCACTCTTGGAAAAGGGGTTATTTTTCAACGGGGGTCAATTTTTTTTATAGGACGTACATATAACAAATTGATCCCTGGGGCTCTTTTTCTACAAAAAAATAATCTTTTTCTATTTGTTGAAAAATGACCCCCCGGTCACTATTCCATAGGGGTCATTATTCGTCTTTACACCGATCTTAGAGAGCATATAACGAATAAATAGCAAGGGGAAAAAAGCAAAGTTTTGATGTGATTTTTTTTCAGTTATTTTATTGGTTAGAAAGTATTTCCTATTAATATAGACTAATTTTAAAACTCCGATTAATACATTTGTATCTGTGGTTGCACATTGTAGACTGATGAATATTTCATTATCATTTTTACAGTGAAACATGAAACCAGCACTTCATCGTAAGTAGTTTCGTATCCTACATACCCTAGACAAAATTACTAATGCACCACTCAGTATTCTCACTTGTTTATCTAGCATGTATCTAATTGGCTTAAGTATATCTTATTTGCGTTTTGTCAAGTGCAGTTGAATTGAAAATGTATTTGTGTCATGAGAAGACCCTCAAATGACCTTGATCGACGGAAAATCAATTTCCGAAAGTCCACGGAGCATCTTTTGCCCTGATATGAATTAGTGGATATCAATGGTGGTCAGAACCGTTGCAACAGAAGCAGCCTTCTAGTCAAAAAATCAAATAATACAGGGCGATTTGTCTGTCATATTTCCTAGTAGTCACCCAGTGCTTTGGTGTCCATACCCTGCCCACGAGTTTTGTGGAACACTCTTGCAATTGTTATGTCGTGACATCTGAATGCTGTTGCTATCTTTAAATAAGATTCTAATGTTTGTTTATCTATTTGCAAGACTTTTTTCATTAGGAAAAAGAAAATTCTTAGAAATATTTTGATTTTTTGGTACAAATCCCCCAAAGGAATACCCTTCAAATACCATACTGACTACTTTAGAACGCTCCTCTCGGGTGAAACGCCGCAAATGTTTTTAATTAACATCTGATTTTTTTGAATTAGTACAAACATAAAGAAAACAAAAACCAAGATGAAAATGGAATTTTTTTTCCCCCAGACCGTTACCATGATGCTTAGTTGTTTTATTTATTAGTTAATTATTTTTCAGTTAAAATATTTAAATGACTTGCTTTTAACTTTGGTTAACTTTATATGTCAAATACACATTAGTAACTTTTGAAAATTAAAATATGAATTTTCTTAGGTGTTGCGTTAGCAGTTTTGTCTAGTGTATATTTCTTTACGTTGACTCACAATTTGAAATAAGAATGATGAAATATCAACATGTTTATTCTGTTACTAAGTTTAAAGAAAAAGGAAATGCATTTGGATAACACAGGACCCTTCCTTCTTGATGTATTTCAATACGTCTTACTTCGCTTTCAGTTTCTATTTTATAATATATTATTATTATATCTAATTTCCATTTTAATTTATTCTCGAGTTTCTGTTCAACTCCAACAATAATGGGTAAAACAGTTTTATCCATGTCTGTTATTTATTCTGTACAGAAAAATTCCCATTACGCACAAAATTCTGAGCCCTAGGGTACATGTATGAAGAATCAGAACTTTATGTATTTGTAGATTCTTAAGTGGTTTTGCCTAATAATTATATCCCATAAAAGTAAAATTAAAAACATGATTAGAGAACTGCAAGAAATAAAAATGGTAAATAACATTAATAATATACATTTATACGGAAGCCGGTTGGTGCCAGGTAGAAAAAATATTTTATCTGGCAGCCACCAGATAAGTTTCTGGTGGCCGCCAGATAAAAAAAAATAAAAAGATCTGGCGGCCCCCAGATAACTTAAATGGCGGCCGCCAGAAAACAACAATTATTAGAATAATAATTGTATTTATGTATTTAATGCGGTAATTTATTTAGAGCTTTTTAGTATGATTTTATGTTTGTAAATTGTGAAAATTCTTAGATCCACACCTTGGCTGATGTATCAATAGCTTTTAGCCAATGATGGTGTTAGGTCACGTGGTCAGCTCAGTGAGTCATTCAGTTGTATTTTGATACCCGCACGCTGACCAACGCTTACACGAGGCACGTCTATTTTGAAGATCCACCTTCACCCCAGCATTCCTACCCCTTAATATGGTTAATAAGGTGTCATGTAAAATTATATTTAGGCCTATTTTGTTTTAATGTGCCATCTTTTTGCTAACTTGGCCTATTCTGTTTTTGATGTGCCATCTTTTTGCTAACTTTTTCTTATGATGTTTTGGCCTATTTTGTTTTGATGTGCCATCTTTTTGCTAACTTTTTCTTATGATGTTGTGATTGTCTTGTTTTACAGGTACTTTTTTCTAGTAATTTTTGGGGGATCAGACATTATCATATTTTACGTAACTGATAACCAAAACTTGTGAATCTGATCCCCCTCTTGTGTGTTAAATTGTTTATGCTTATACCGTCATTTTAATAAATGACATTATTCATCTCTATGAAAGTGTTTTATTTGACTTGTACAAAATTAGCAAAAACTAGCTGCGGTGAGCTTGCCGATAAGCATTAGAAGACATAAAATTATCTGGCGGCCGCCACATTATTATTTGGCGGCCGCCTGATAAATAGAACTGGCGGCCGCCAGATAATTATTTGGTGGCCGCCAAATAATTTTCTGGCGACAGCCAGATTTTTTTATCTGGCGGCCGCCAGATAATTAATTGGCGGCCGCAAGAAACTTATCTGGCGCCGCCAGATAAAATATTTTTCTACCTGGCACCTACCGGCTTCCGTACATTTACAAACTTAGGGAAAAAGAATGAGTAATTCTTTTTTCAGCCCAAGGTAATCTAGGTCCTATTTGTCAAGTTAGTTTCCTACCATGAATAAACCTGTCAGCATAATCAGCATAAATAGTTACATGTATACATCTTTTCACACTAAATGCTCAAATATTCAACATATACTTTTTAGTTTGGATGTTACTGCTGCAGATAAAATTAAAACGCCAAAAGCAAACGCATACAATTCGATCAGAAACAATCCAATCTCAGAAGTTTACCAGAATCAAATATCGTCTGGCGGCCAAACTTATTCGAATACTCCAGTTCACTCAGGAGGAGCAACCTTTGGTGTGTACGATTCAACTGAAGCTGATGGTGAAGATTTGTATGAACCTGTAGAAGTACCTCATGATGAGCAACATGTTTATGAAGGAAAGCTTCAAACTGCTGAACTATATGAAGATGTGTAAACATGATGAAAATATCAGAAAGCTGAAAGTAGAAATACAAAAATCGGTTATATTTATTGACCAATTAGTGGATGCTCTTCGCAGCTTTAATTTGTAATATGTATATCTAAATATCTGCAAATACAAGATGTAAACACTTTTATTTGATTTTTGCTGTTATTAGTGTTCAAAACTTCTTAACTGACCCTTGTTACAAGTGTGATGTCATGTATTTTAGTGATAACATTCATAATTTATGTAATATAATACAAATATTTAGAATCTTGTATAGTCTCTTTTGTCGTAAAGTTTTTTTCTGCTTGATTTAAAAGCGATGTAACAATCATCAGATCTGGTACCAAGAAAAGTTATTTCATCATTTAAAATGCATTGTCTGGGTTTGTTTGTTTTGTTTTGATTTTTTTTTTTTTTTAATGCATGTTTACCTATATTTTAAGCAAATACATTTCGTGTTTTAGCAAGTTTTTTTTCCGATGTCCTTTAGAAGTACTTTGGCATGCATAAACTCAGGTTTCTTTATCATGTCATAATTTTACCATATTCTTTCATCTCGCGATTGACTATATAGAATACTTATTGAAAGAATATTTTACCTTAAGTTTCCTCTTTTGTCTACATTCTGATTTTTTAGAAATTCTACGAAATTGGATTTCACTTGGTGTTTAATGATGAATTTAGTGTCAAATTAAGAGAGGGAAGCAGAGAGAAAGAGAGACATCGTAAATTGAATTAAGCATCTCTTGAAAACTTCCTACAAAATGTAATTTGAACTCATCACCTCAGTAATATTGTAGTGGAAAACTATCAATTCATCTTCTAATAGGAACATCTAGTGAGGTTATTTTCGTATTGTTTAATATATTTCGATTTTAGGGGTGTGATTTTTGTGTTAAATTCTGTTAATTAATTTTGATTTTTCATCTTTTTTTAGCTCACCCGCTTTTAAAGACCTAGTGAGCTTTTCTGATCACATTTTGTCTGCAGTCCGTTTGTTCAAATAAAGGTCCACACCCTCTTTCAGGGGAGATAATTAAGAATAAGTGAAAATTTAATTTAAAATCTTTTAATGGAATCTATAAAAAAAAAAAAAAGAACCACAGGGCAAAAAAAATATGAAACATATCAACGTTTCATTGCATAGTGTAGATTCAAGTTTGTTCAAATCATGACCCCCGGGGGTAAGATGGGGCCACAATGGGCGATCAAAGTTATACATAGGAATATATAGGAAAATTCTTTAAAAATTCTTTCTCAAGAAAGCGAATCCATGATTAGTCATATTAAAATGGAAAGATCCTCAGGTAGTGTAGATTCACGTTTCTTCAAAATATAAACCCCTGAGGATAGACCGGGACCAAAATGGACCATGAAAGTCCTACAGAATATAAAGGAAAATTCTTTAAAATCTCAAGAACATCAAAGCCATGATTAGTCATATTTGTTGAAATCCTCCTCAGGTAGTGTAGATTCAAGTTTGTCAAAATCATGGGCCACAGAGCAAAGTCTTACATTGGAATATATAGGATTTTTTTATAATCTTCTTCTCAAGAACAGCAAAGGCTTGATAAGTCATATTTATGTTAAATCATTCTCAGGTAGTGTAGATTCAAGTGGGGTGGGGTAAAAATATGTGATTAAAGCTTTACATAGGAATAGACAGGGGAGAATTCTTACAGCAAGGCCATAGTTACTCAGGTGAGTGTTGTGGCCATTTGGCCTCTTGTTACCTCACCTATCCCAAAGACTTGCTCATGTAGGCTTGTCAAATCGCAATTTGTCTATCCGTTTTGTTCTTGACTTTGTTACCGTAGTTATCGGCGTACATTTTTCACATTCGCATTTACAGAGTATCCTTGCGGGAAGAAAATTCACATGTTATAGTAAAGGTCCAACCCCACTGTTAATGATTTATGATCAAGAAAAGACACAAATAAGGTGTGAAATAAAATATCTTTCTTAAGAGCCATTGGGCAAGAAAAGGGAAACCTTACGTGAAAATCTCCTTACAGATTGTTTTGATCATACCGCTCAGGATTAGGTTTTGATCAAAATTCGGGATCAAATCTTCACAATTTTATATATATATATATATATAGGTTTTTTTTTTAAAGAAATCTCCTTTTAAAACTAGCAGAACAATAGTTATTTATATAAATATACAAGCATCCTCAGGTAATGCAGTTTGTTAAAATCATGGCCCCAAGGTAAGGGCGAGGAAAAAATAGGACTGATATCGTAAAAGATCTTTTATTCAGAACAACAGAATCACAGGTGAGTGATGTGTCCTATAAGCCTTTTTTCTTATTTTGGTTTTCTTGTATAGTACCAGCTAATCATTTTTTCAGATCAGCCATTATCATATTTTAAGTTATTTACTGTCAGAGCTTGTGTGTCTGAACCCTTTCTTGTGTGTAAAATTGTTCAACTTTTATCAATTTTTAAATAAATCACATTCTTTAACTTCATAAATGTGTTTACGTCATTTAAAGAACAAGAAACGTAATTTATTTAAACAAATGAACTACATGTATAAATGCGTGTATATATGTAGATTGATCTATTCAACATTTTTATATTCATTTAAAAACTACATGGCTAGTAGAACGAAAGGACAAATAGACAACCATAACCTGCTGAACTGACCCTATCCAATTAACAATTTACTTTATTATCCTCTGGTATAGGTTAGCTTTATCATATTTTGGTATCGGTTACCTTTATTAACCTCTGATATGGGTTAGCTTAATTATCCTCTGGTATAGGCTAGCTTTATCTTCCTCTGGTATATTTTAGTTTTATCATCCTCTGGTATCTGTCAACTTCATTATCCTCTGATATAGGTTAGATACATAGCGGGTTCCAGTAAATGTTCTACCAAGCCTCTTTCTTTACTCCTCACTAAAATATTAACAGCAGTGAAGGAGAAACTTCAGAAGTACTGTGCAACAATATATTCGAGAAGTGGTGCAAATCAGATGTGGATATTTAAAAATTCCAAGGAACTTTTTTAAAAAATTTGAAATCACAAAATTTTAGAAATTACCAAAATCAATAGCATAAAAACTTACGACTTTTCAACTCTATAGTTTCTGTCACTCTGTAGTTTCTGTCAAAAATCACTCTCCATTACTATCCCTTGAAATATTATATTATTAAATAGTATATTAGCATAGGAATAAGTTGTTGTCCATGACCTAAAGCTATCTACAGGTAGTAGACTTGAATTAAGATTATATTTCAAACTGGATAATAAGATCGAAGACTGGTGCCTATGCATAACTGTTGAACCTTGTCTGGTATTTGTTCAAACCTAAATAGTTGTTGCCGACAACACACTGGTTTGTCGTGACTTTAATTTGGTTTGCATTGTTTTTTGTGAGGGATGTTCTAGACGACTTTGATTGTCTGAAAAATATTCTCTTGTTCTGCGGTTGCAGAAAGATACTCTAAAGCATTGTGGCATGTCTGAGTAACGCTCTGAACCATTGTTGTCAAAGGAGATCTTTGAAGTATTGTTGGTTAACTGAGAAATATAATGAACTACTGTTGGTTTTCTGAGGAATGTTCAGAATTGAGAGGTGAAGATGAACCGAACAGTGATCGATCTAAAAGAAATCCACAAACAAATCTAAGAACAGGGCTTAAAACACGGACCCACGGAAATTCAGCAGGTGAGATTAGGTGACGAGGAAGAGCATCTCCTTTCACTGGTCACACCCGCCGTTAGCCCTAACTTTTGACTCAGGTAGATGGAATATTCCGTAGTCAAATCTAGTATAAGAACAGAAACCTAACAATTGGTATAAAAAACGTCAGCCAAAATACGACCCAATGATAGTGTAATTTGTAGGAGGAAGCATTGTAGTTTGATTATGTATATCAACAGTCCCGCTTAAGTAATATTTCTTCAGTTCTATGGTCGATACAATGTCAGCAAATACAATCTATCATTAATTCATATGCTGACTGACGTTTTTCATATTAATTGTAAGGCCATTATTTACACACTGATTGTCGACGGATTTTTCCGTTATTTACCGATCATGACAAGGAGCACTCGGCGATGGTAACCGGTCGGCAGGGGATGCTCACTCCTCCATGGAACCTTATCCCACGTCTGATATTTTTGGAGGTTTTTGTTTGCTCTGCACCCGATTTGTATTGTCTTATTGACTTTGAGCTTGACCACTGTTCGTTATCTCCATATTTCACTAGAATATACTATGAAAAACTCTCTGAATTTCTGGTGGTTTTGGATGGAGTGCTATGAACTTCTATAATTTGCCTGCATAAGGAAACCAAGTTGGATCAGATCATTTTTTTTACACAAACGTTGCAACTTGAAGTATATAAAAAAGGAAAGGAAAAGATGTGTGTATTTTTCAACTAACATCTAGTGCTATCAAATAGTAATTAATCGACGTCCACCTAACTAACCAACGAAGAAACTTCCACGGATTTTTTTTTTTTTTTTTTTTTTTTTCATAATTTTCAAATTTACTTTCTGAAATAATTTTTTTAGAATATTTTTAATATTCCCAACAATCAAAATAAATTTGAATTACCATACTTATTCTGGATTACTAAACTTCATAAAAATCATTATAAACAAAGGTACATAGCAGTGGAGGAGAAACTACAGGAGTGCTGTACAACAATATATTCGAGAAGTGGTATAAATCAGATATGGATACTTAAAAACTCCAAGGAACTTTTGCAAAATTTGAAATCACAAAAATTTACTTACATCGATAAGATCAAAATATACGACTTTTTAATACTTTATACAACCATTCCAAACGAAGAATTAGAGTCCAGGTTTTTTGACATCAAATACAGGTGCTTTTCTAATACAAACCTATCTTGTCATTGGTCATTTGCAAAATTATTTTGTTAAAAAACATTCTGATTCCCATGGATACCAATTGTGCTATGTTATTAGCGGACCTATTTTTGTATTTTTTTTTAAGTAAAAATTTCAATAAGTTATACATGAGAAGAGAAAACCACTTGCTGAGGTCTTCAACTCGACAGTAGATATATCGACGAGATATTATTAATTAACAATAGTTATTTCAACTCATATGTCTACTCGATATATATATATATATATATATATATATATATATATATATATATATATATATATATATATATATATATATATATATATATATACATATATATATATATATATATATGTATATATATCACAATGACCTTGAAATAAAAGATACCACAGTGCCTGACACATCTGTTTCATATTTGGATATTTCACTACATAAAGACGTCAATGGTAACCAAACAACAAAACATTATGATAAAGGTGATGACTATCTTTTCTATCGCCAACTTCCCTTACTTATGTAGCAATATACTGTTATCACCTGCATATGGGTTTATGTCTCCCAGCTGATTCGATACGCAAGAGCATGCTCTACGTAAGAACAATTTCTAAAACAAGGCAAGCTATTGACAAACAAGTTGATAAATCAGGAATATCAACAGTCTCTTTAAAGTCATCATTTCGCAAGTTCTGTGGTCCATATATACAATGAACTTGTCAGCATATATAATCTATCTTTAAGTTGAATGCCGACTGAAGTTTTCAAACTAATTGTAAGACCATTATGTACACACTGAATTGAATACGGATTTTTTTTTTCCATTTTCCCGATCATTACAATGATCACACGGCTGGTTTGACTAGTCGACATTGGATGTTTACTCCTCCATGACACTTGATTCCACCTCTGATGTGTTAAGAGGTCCGGATCCGTGTTTGCTCTGCTCCCGATTTGTATTAGTTCAATGGATTTTTGAGCTTGATATTTTTCTCATTTTCTTCAAGAAAAGATTTCATGAAAAACCATTGTGTTATTTTCTAGGCATCAAAATACTTGAAATACATGTATATTCTTAGATATTTTTATCAAATAATTATTTTTCAATGTGGTCTGCAATAAACATATTGTAGATTAATCCAAAAAGGTCCATTAAAAGATCTCTTCTGAGGGGATTTAAATACTTAATCTTAAATATATTCAAAATTAGGAAGTAATTCTTACAGATTATATATCTGACTATTTCCTACACACCAGGCACAAGGTTTTCCTAGATCTATTGATATTTAAAGTCAATGACATTTTGTAGTGAGCAAAGCTCAAAAACTTTCAAGTTGATTTGAAATTACTTCTTGCTTCATTATTTTTAATTTCAATTTTCATAAAGTACCATTTAGCAATTTATTTATCGACCATGTATTTGATATCAACAGGTTTGCTTTGCACCTTTGGAATGTTTTCATTTGAAGCTTATGAACAAAATTGTAAGAAAGCAATTATCTAATTATGTTATATTTATTTAAAATGATTTGATATGATTGATCTGTTTTTTTTTTTTTTTTTTTTTTTGTTTCTCCTTAAAATTAAAGGATTAAAAACGTCTTGCGATATCATACTTTAAAAGACGTGCACTGAAAGCTAAAATTAATAACTCCTTTATCGTATGAACTTTTAGGTGCTGAAGACTCAACAAAAAATAAAATCATTTATTTATTTATTTTTAGATTTCATATCTTTTGAGGATCCATTGTTGGGTGTTTATTACCCAGATGATATTGTGCAGTGTAATGCTCGTCAATGGTTTTCAAGAACAACAAATGTTTCAAGTATAAACATTGTCGTCCGGCAAATTTTGAGAGATAATACGAAAGTTAAACTTGCAACGTGTCCATTTAAAAGCGATCAGATCTTTGCCGAATGTAAAGCTAATTTTTCTGCTATTGGATGCAAAGATCACGTGAAGATATCATGTTCTGTTGAAACTAATGAAACAGAGACAGAAAGAACACTGGAAATCACCATAACAGGTTTCTTTTATATCACTACGTATTAGAATTAGTATCTTGTATGTTAAATTGAATTAACTTTTTAAATTAATAATGTTTATGCGTGTTATTGTGTAAATAACTTTAAGACATGTCTCAACAGAGCCCTCATATTATGAAATTTTATCCATAACAGGAAAACCTTCCAGTCTTATATCTTTCCGCACACATTATCAGGGAGTTGAGAATGACAGTGTCATGCAGACATTTCCTCCGGGAACTCTCATTGAGTTAATCTGTAAAGGAGAAGTTCCAATGAAAAACGGAAAAGTTTTCCAGGTATTACACGATTAAAATATTTTACCCTTTGTAATCGTGTAATGCTCTTTTATGTTTGTTTGTTTGTTTGTATGTTGTTTTAACGTCCCTCTCGAGAATTTTTCACTCATATGGAGACGCCACGTTTGCCGGTGGAGAGCTGTAAATTCTGTCCTATACTCGGCACTTACGGCCATTGAGCAGTGAGGGATCTTTTTCGTGCCAGGAACTACTGCGACACGGGGCCTCGGTTTATATGGTCTCATCCGAAGGACCGGTCTCCACGTCCTAAAATGGGATTCGAACCCGCGACGTAAGGATC